TACCACCACGCCAGACGGCACTCTCGATCCACCCCCCATCAAAGGACCGGCGCCTGGGCGGATCCTCAAGTACATGCATTCAACTTTGGATCCATCTTTTTCCTACCTTGGCCGACCTTTTCGACAACGCGGCCCCGGCTCCTCACTCCCCCCCCCCACATAACAAACCTTTTGCCCGCGCACCGCGCTTCGTACCTATACGCCGCTATACTCGGGTGGACACAACGAGAAACTCAGAAGAAAAAAAGCAAGGCTAGTCGCGCTTCATCATGGCGTGGGACCACCTGTCCATCACCAAGCCGCATCTGGTGTACTTGATTCTCGGAGGCTTCACCAGCTTGTTTATGCTGTGTTCCTCCGTCATCAAGGAACGCCTGTACATTGGTGAAGCCACGGTCGCGACCATATGTGGCATCATATTCGGTCCCCATGCAGCCAATCTCATAGATCCTTCGACTTGGGGCAACGTCGACTTGATCACTCTAGAGTTTTCACGCGTTGTCCTCGTCGTGCAATGTTTTGCCGTCGGTGTTGAGTTGCCTCGCGCATACATGGAGAAGCACTGGAAGTCGGTGGTCCTGCTACTCCTCCCAGTCATGACTTTTGGCTGGCTGATAACCAGCCTGTTCGTCTGGGGCCTGTTCAACTCCCACCTCAACTGGCTCGACAGTCTCTGCGTTGCCGCTTGCGTTACTGCCACTGATCCTGTCCTGGCCTCGTCCGTTGTTGGCAAAGGCAAGTTTGCTAAACGAGTCCCCAAGCACTTGCGAGATTTGCTGTCTGCTGAATCTGGCTGCAACGATGGTATGGCCTTTCCCTTCGTTTACCTGGCCATTTACCTTATCCATTACCGCCCCGACGCCAGCAAGGTTGCGTACCACTGGTTCTGTTACACAATCCTCTACGAGTGCATATTTGGTGCTTTCTACGGTGTGGTGATTGGCTACATTGCAAGACGTGCTATTAGATATGCTCACGAGCGCGACCTCATCGATCGAGAAAGTTTCCTCGTCTTCTACTTTGTGCTCGCACTTTTCTGCGCTGGCTCAGGTTCGCTCTTGGGCATGGATGACTTACTCGTAGGATTTGCTTGCGGTGTCGGCTTCTCGAACGATGGATGGTTTTTGGAGAAGACAGAAGAGTCCCATGTTTCCAATGTCATTGACTTGCTCATTAACTTGGCTTTCTTTGTCTACTTCGGTTCCATCATTCCCTGGGAGCAGTTCAACTCCGACATCATTGGACTGTCGCCCTGGCGTTTGGTTGTGCTCGGCATCTTGGTACTCTTCTTCCGCCGTATACCAATCATGTTGATGCTTAAACCCGTCATTCCGGATCTCAAGACATGGCGCGAAGCATCTTTTGCTGGACACTTTGGACCCATTGGTGTCGGTGGTTTGTTCGTTGCTATCCTTGCACGAGCCGAGCTCGAGACCGGTACCACGACGCCGTTAGCTGTATTACCTGAACCTGGTTTTGAGCATCTGAACATCATCGAGATGATATGGCCCATTACCTGTTTCTTGGTTATTGTCAGTATTGTTGTCCATGGCAGTTCGATTGCTGTCTTCACCCTTGGCAAACGTATCAACACCCTCACGATATCAATGTCGTACACACAGGGCAACGAAAACGGACCTGGCTGGATGGAACGTCTTCCCCGTATTCAATCGCGTTCGAGATCTTCCATGGCACGCCGCCCATCCGAATCATCCTTTGACGAAAAATCTGACTTTGCAGCTGCAACAGGCTTCGGTGGCTCATTTTTGCGTCGACAGAGGGAGGAAGACAACCCAAGCCGTTCAAACTCTGTTAAGCCTACGGGTAGAGGCAGGCGCTGGGATGCTGGTCATGGACCTGGCGGTCCCATTGCTCAATCTGCCATTACACCCAACAGGCGTGATGAGGGCAAGGTAGAGGCCATACCACCAGAACAAGATACAGACACGTTTGCCGATGCCATGGCCATTTCTAGTTCCAGTTCATCAAGCGCAAAGGAGAAGATGAAGATGCGCCAGCCTGAGGAAGAAATTTATCAGGAAGGCCATCAAACCGTCTTCGAAGACAAGGAAGGAAATGTTTTGGGCGTGAGGGATAGTCACGGCGAACATGGCCAAGTACGAAAGGAGCACGATATCCAGAGAGGACAAGACTTGATTACCCAGGCCGAGGTTCAGCAGGGAGTGTCTCAGAAAGAGCATGGTAGTGAACTTGAAGAAGCCCCAAGTAAGATTGAGAACGCTATCGAGCATCCTCACAAGACGTGGCGCAACCGTATGCAAAGTTTCTCAGGGCGTATGCACAAAGACGGCAAGCAAGCAGATCCTTCGAAGGCTGACAAGCCAGCTCACAAGCCTGGGCCCGCTCTCGCCTATCAATACGGTAACACTATTATTGTTGAAGACGAAGACGGCGAGGTCTTGAAAAAGTACGACATTCCAGCGGCGCCAAAGAAGAGTAAGGATGGCCGGCCTGTGAACACCCGTGGTCAATCTATGGCAGAATCGTCAAGTCGCGCCGTCCAGAGTTTGAAACGCATGGGAACTCACATGGGCGTTCCAAACACTCATCACGCTGGCCCTGAGGGTTCTCAAGCTGCGAATGACAAGAAGAAGAAGGCGGCTGAAGCAGCTGCCAAGGAGCAGCAAGATGACGATTTGATTCGATTCACTGTTACCGCTGGCGGACGTCGCATGAGCAAGCTGGAGTTCATTCAACAAATGGCACAAATGAACCCCAAAGACAGAGCCAAGTTCGTGCAAAACAGCGACGTTCCCGAGGCCGTCAAGGATGCTGCACACAAGGACGCACAGGAGCACACTGCTGAGCAGCGCCGCCAAGCAGCTTCTAAGCAAGCAAACATACCTCCTGTTGTAGGCAAAGAGGGTGAGGCCGAGCTCCACAAGATTGAGTCTCCTGCAGCAGACGAATCAGGAAATGCCCGTGGTCCAGAAGGCCTGACACTGGTCGACAGCAACGATGAGCAGGTTCCTTTCCACTCTGTGCGCCAAGATCTAGAAAACTACTCCTACGGTCAAAACGGCGAGACAGCAGCAGAGCGCCGGAGACGGCAAGCAGCAGAGCAATCCTCAAGCCAGGGACCCAAGGACACCGCAACCCCTACTCCTACAACACAACAGCCCCTCAAGGAAGAAGCTGGAGAAGGCGAAACCTTCGAAGGCGAAACAGCCGCAGAGCGCAAGCGCCGTCTCGGTGCCCTGGGTGTAGCCAAAGACGACACCCCCGAATCCGACTCTGAAGATGAAGAAACCGGTGACCCCCTAGAAACCGGTCGCGGTACCCACTCGCGCGCTGCCGCCGAACCCAGCAGCCAAAAGACACTCTCGCCCGCTCCTCGTACCCCCGGTATCCGTTTCGCAGACCAGCCCCGCGTGCCTACAAAAGACGAGCGCGTAGCCGAGGAAGCCCGCGAAAAGGAAGAAAGTGAGCGCGAGAAGAAGAACAACAAGCGCAAGAGTGGATTGAGTAATTTGATTGGAAGGAAGTAAAGACAGGGGGGGATGACGATATGACTAATATGTTATGCTGTGTTGTTGCATGGAAGATGAAGAGATGACATTTCAGTCTTCTTTTTGTTCCTCTTTCTTCTCTTCTTTTTTGGATATATATACGCATGTGTATATGTTTGATCCAGGTTTAGTATAATAGATGGTGTTTCGTTTTTATCACGCTTCGGGCGTGTGTTTATGGCGTTGTTCGTTTTTGTTCGAGGCAAGAAAAAGTAGATGAAAGTGGTCATGTTTCTTGTTTTTCTAAGAGATGGTTATGTATGAAGAGGGGAAGGAGAAAGTGGGTAAGAGGGATGCATTAGTGAAGATACCTTATACAACTCAGAAGACTTATTATCATCACGTTCGTTTGGGCATTGCATATTTGAAGTGAATTTTAATTATTATCCTCAATTCTCCATGAACAGCTCGACACCCAAGTACCGTGCACGAAGATAAACCCGTCATACCAGAAAATACATCATTTTCTTCGTCATGACAAAGGTACATGGAAACTTGTCGAATGCCCTCGAATCTCCCTTGCTTTGATATGCCTTTCTAGCAGTTTGAGCACGACAAGCTAGTTGTCGGCATCAAAGGCCATATCCCGAGTAGATCTCCCGCCCTCAGCAGGAGCCTTGCCCTTGGTAGACCCCTTCTTCTCGGCAGCAGACGCCTTGTCATTACTAGCAGGACCAGCAGCAGGAGGCAAATAGCGACCCATGGCACCCAAATGATACGACCTCTTGACTGGATACGTAAAACGCTCCCCAGTCTGCATATCATACGTGATATTACGCGGCTTTGGGTTCGCAAGCGCAGCAATAGCCTGGGCGGGGGTGAACGTGATGGCGATGCGATCAAGCTGGGCAGCACGCTTGATTTCCTTTTCAGACTTCTTCTTGACGACTACTACCTCTTTCTGCTTGCCTTTGGGGGCTGGGTTGGACTTTGCGTGCATGCCGCCAATGACGTCCTTGTCTTCGTCAGACTCTAGCGTCAGGTCAATCATTCCATATACCGGCCTTAGGGAGAATTTTATGGGGGGTTCAGTACTGGTTGCACGGCTGCCCGTTGATACGGTCGTCGTGGGTGACGTTTCTTCATCCGCCATGGTAAGGTCAATGGTCTCCTTGGGCTGGATGGGAGCCTTCTGCGATTGGGATGATGGCTGCGGCTGCGTCGTCAGCTTGCTACCTTCTGAGCGAGACCGCTTCTTTCCCTTTGGAGGGGCAGAGCCAGAAGGACCGGAGCTCATGTTTGAATGATTGTTTGACTTGACGAGGGTTGAGGTATGGCGAGACTGCGGTGTGGAGGGTTTGGTTGTTGTCAAGTAAACAAGGCGGGGTAAGATAAATATTCAAGTTATTTACTGTGGGCGATGAGTGGTGAAGGGTGAATGTACCGCTTGGGCCACCTGCAAACGCTCGAGTGAAAGGTATATGTGGTAGTGACCACTAGTACACGACTGGACTACCATATTGAAGTTCGTCAAGGCCGCCTTCGTTTGCCTTTTTGCTTCCCTTTTTGAGACTTGGACGTCTCTGGCTGTGATGAACCTTGTGCTGAAGGCTGCTGGGGAGCTTGCTGTGCAGCTTTTTTTGCCTTTGACCCTCGTTGTCGGGGCCGAGGGCCAGGCTTTGGCGGTGAGAGACGTGCTTGACCCGGCCTGTGGTACTCAAAAGCCTCCAGCAAGCCAGGGTGCATGTCTGTGTATCTATATAGCTGACCCCCAATGGTACGGAGATATTTGTCGTCAACCTCGGTGAATCGCTTGCCACTATTCACCCCCCAATTGAAGATATAGTCACGTGCAGGATTATGTGCCTCGAGATCGGTTCTTATGGCTTCGTCTATAACAACAGGTTCATCGCTGGTGGCGCTGCTCACCGTCGGTGGACGAGAGGCTGCGGACGATGCAAGGGATATGTATGCGCCAGAGTCTGGGGTAGTGTCTTCATGAAAGAGGCCGTAATGGGTACGGAACGTCAATACACTGAGCGGGAACTGAGACAAGTACATTTCCTTGTAGACAGCGACCGCAGCAGGTATCGTGAACATGACTGTTGGCCTGGGGGTTTTCCTCCTGCCATGTGTGGGCAAAGATTCCTCAATGTTGATGGAAATGTCTTGGGTATCCTCCAAATCCTCGTCGTCGTCGAGTATGTCCGAGTCTGTCAGGCTGTCGTCGTCGCTATAGCTGTCGCTTCTTTGGGTATGTCTTTCGTCTATGCTGTCCATATCATAGTCTGGCCTTGCCCGATACAACGCCTCGAAATTGTTGCCGCCGCCGCTCAGGGGTATAAAGTCTTGCTCTTCCTGATCCCCATTGTTCTTTCTGCCGCGTGCAAATCGACCGCCGCCATTGTGTTGTTGGCCGCCACGCCCTCGTCCCCTTCCTCCGCGTGCTCCTCCTCGCTCTGCTTTCCTCGCGTTGTGGATGGCTTTTTGGCGTGCTTTGTGTCGGATCGGGGGCGGCCCTTGTGGCTTTGTGGATTTGGACTTTCGATTCTCAGCTGCAGTGGCGCGCCGTCTCTGGCATGGGCGCGGCATAGCGGCAGCGAGTGTTTGTGTGCGAATTGCTGGTTGCAGTTGTGCGATAGACGTCAGACTTTACGACGCTCGGCCCCTCCCAAACTGGGATTCTGAGATTGCTCGCTTTGTCCCTGGTGCACATCCAGGTACCGCGCGACCATGATGCAAATCCTACAGACAGTAATAATTTTACGTTGAAAATAATTGCGAGTGACAATTTTTCTTAAAAATGATATTTATTTAGAAATACCTGTCGTTTTGGCGATACTTCTGGAACCTGTTTCGTGGCAATAATTGACTCTTTTCCTTTACCAATGGCAAATGCACGAATTATGCATCAACCGGCTCTATGCATTATCAAAGGAAACTGGGACCCTTTGGTCGGTGCTGGCCCTCCAATTCTAGAGAATGGTGAGAACAAGCCAACTGCCATGTACACATAACTCGATTTCACGTGGGAACGAGCAAATCCTACCTTGAACATAAACAGCGCAAGACTCTTATGCACTCAGCTATGTCAATTCACAAAGCAAATCTGCCTTGCCTGTCGTCTAAGCCACACACCTCTAGGACTCTTCCCGGGGTCTTTTTCATTTCGCCATCCCAGCACTCCCAAGACACTCATCTTCCTTCAAGTCCCACCTAAAACCACGCCGCACTTGACCAAATTTTCTGAATCCCATGCAAACATAAGGAAACCCCCCCACTTAATGTCGTTCCCTGCGGCTCTGCAACGCTTTTCATTGCGCAGAGCGGACAAGGCAGACCCGTTTATTTAGCGCCCGCATGTATTTTACCCGATACCCGCGCCGCAACCCCGCATGTTGCAACCGCCGCACGACCGCATTGGGCGAGTAAAGGAAGTGATCCGAGTGATAGAAATAGGATCTTTATGAGATGATCAATTTGGTTGCTGGGGTTAGGGGGCGCGAAAGGAAGCGGCGCGGTTGGGGGTTGGAAAGGTTAAGATGGGTGCGGAAGGAGCAATGGAGGGAAAGGTACTTGCTACTTGCTTTTACTACCAATTGCGCTGCATCACTGTTGCTAGATTCGCATTCAGATCTTGCTTCAAGCTTAATCTTTATTTGCTTGATCCTCTATTATAAGAAGTTCTTCTTTCTCCTACTCTTTTGTATCAACAAAGTCCATCCAGTCGCGCGAATCGACAAACTACCCATACTATCACCACCACCACAAACCATCTCACACAACCCCCAACACCATGCACACCACCACCACCCTCCTCACCCTCTTCCTCACCACACTCACAGCCGCCCACATCCTCCCACCCCAACCCCCTCACCCTTACATCCTCCCTCGCGCCACCACCCCATCACCCCAAGACCACTGCACCTTCACCCTCTACCACAAACAAATCTCCTCCAATCCCCGCAAAAACTACATCTACCTCCCCACCATCACCGATCATGCAAACGGCCTCGTCATCGACATCGCAGCCACGAAACCGGCGACGGAACGTAATTCGTACATAAGGCTGTCGGCGACGCAGAAGTATGCTGTTAAGGGGTTGTTGGGGGGTGAGGCGTTGACGATTAGTGGCCGGGATGGTGGGAATGGGTTGGGGTTTGAGATGGGGGGGTTGAAGTGGGAGGCTGATGGGAAGAAGGAAGGAGTTGAGGGAGGCGAGGCGGGGTGTCAGGTAGGGGAGTGGGTAGAGAGTGGGTTGGTTAATAGAGTGAGTTCTCCCGATCAATAGTATGCTGGAATCTAGGAGAGCAGGTGCTAACACGGTTATAGGAACGAAAAGTTGAGTGTGCGTTTCCTTGCGGGAAGATTGAAGAGGAGGGAGAGAGGGAGGAGTTGAAGTAGGAAAGTGCAAGTGTGGACGGAGAACTAAAGGTCCTATATCACCAAGCTGCGAGATGAGTGTGTGATCGTAACTGTACGATATAATATTGTAAATATTGCAGAAAAGCGACAGGGAGGTTCTATTTTGTTCTTAGTTCTTTCGAAAATACCCATAGGCATCCATGCCTTGACCCCATCTACCAAAGAAACCCCATTCGTAAACCCACTCATCGATTTCCAAAAGTCCAAACATCCCTTTCCTGGCCAATCCACGGCACAACCTTCTCCTCACACACAATCCTCTCCCCACACTTCCCACAAACGCCCTTCGCACAACTACAGCTCTCCTCTACCTCCATCTCCTTCTCAATCGGCCTCATCATCTGCCCCTCCAACCACGCCGCAAACTCACCCTTCGCACACCCCGTCACCCTCGCAACCCTAACACCCCTTATTCCCGCAAAAAGCCGTAAAACGCCATCGTCACACCCATCAAACATACTCTGCCACGCATGAATCTCCAGGTACTCTGCTCCGCTAAACGCAGCCGTAGCTTGCTTCTCTGTAAACCGTGGATCGGTATCCAGACGCACAGATAGGTACCAGCGCCGGATCTTTGCGATTGCAGAGGCGTCGAGGAGGGGTTTCCAGGGGGAGACGAGGTGAGGGAGAGATGTCAGGAGGGAAGGGTGGGCTTGGAAGATGTGGGTTGAGTAGAGGAGGTCCTGGGCTTCTTGGTGGATTCGCTTGCAGGTGGCGAGGATGGCTGGGTAGATGGGTTGCGGGGCGTGGCTGCGCTGTTGCGAGTACTCTACTAGGGAGTTTGAGCTTGGGGTGTTGGCGCAGAGGAGGTAGTCGTAGATTTGGTTGCGGAGTTCGGCCGGGAGGAGGAAGAAGATTGATTGTTTTTGGGAGGATGTAGGGAGCCGTTTTGAGGGTGTGGTGGAGTGATGTGTTTGTCCTCCTGTTGGTGATGTGCGCAGGGGAGGTGTGGTGCTTGATATGGCGTTATCGCTCATATGTGTGTTGAGCACGTTGAAGTGCGCGGCAAAGTAGTATGCCATTGACATGTTGTCGTTCAGTGCCTTCTCTTGTGCTTGGTTTATTGAGATTGTTGCTCTTATCTCAATTCGGTTGTCGAATTGTTCTCTTGAAATTGTTCGTCTCAAGTTGTAATGGTGGTGGTTGTAAATCGAGTGATACCCTTTCCTATCAGATGTGTATGTAGGTAGGGCAAATAATTGTTCGTACGTCTGACTGTAATGTCGTATGGTTGCTGATGAATTAAGCTAAACCACCAGCAGCCCTACCTGCCTTATAAGTAGATGCTCTGGAAAAAGCTAGAGCCGCAATCACGTTGTTTGGCAGGTGAACGCGACTCACCGACCTGTGGTCTCACCACGAAATCATCCGGGCCAGCGATAAGAACGTCGGGGCGGAACGGATCGCCCACCAGGATGCGTGAAGGTCGCGCCACCAAGGCTGAGCGGTCACTCCACCGCCCCTTGCTACGTGCGCTGTCTTCACTTCACGACCAGCGCAGCATGATGCGTCATATTTTCTTTTTGAAGCATGTCAGTTATTTCAAAGTTAGCCTTTTACGTCTGACAGCGCTGCTCGTTTGAACTGCCAGTCTCGATAGTACACACTAGTCGCCGGTGCTTGATCGACGTGCGGGGTCACTCGTCGTTCGCCCCAACTTCCCCCCTTCAGGCTCATAGTTGAGTACTTGCTTCTTCTCATCAATAGCAAGCTCATCCAGAATGAAATCGTGGTTGTAGAATACAATCCACTTCATGGTTACGAAATATGTGGTACGGTGGTGTGATCCGCAGCTGACGATGATCAACTACGTAGGTACGCACGGTGCAGTGGCCCAACAAGAAGCATGTTTCTCGCATTTTACTCGGACTTGAGCAAACTTGTCCAACGTTGCAACTACTCCAATCCTTGTCGCTCCCTGCTACTTTCTGACATCTCTGTTATACACTAAGCATCTCTCATAAGTCGTTACATTTCGTAATTCGCTGTACTAACGTGTCCCAACGGATATTTGGCGACATAGGCCTCGATCTTCCATAACATTCACCGCATAACCAGACCCATGGTTCTTATCCGGTTCCACCTCCGCACCTCAGAAAACTCCCATAACACCGATACCGACCATGGCAGCGACGCCCCTAACCCAGCCTGGGTTTTGTGTGGAAGCAGCAGCAGCCGCCACCTCTACAACTGTCTGAGTCTGTCCGGTCTTGCCTGTCAAAGTCCCCATGCCAATTTCTCCTCTACCCGGAGCTGGAGCCACAGATCTTTGCGGCTTGAAGTCAATAGAAACAGTGTGGGGCCACCAGGTCGAATAGGTACCGCCGATGAATGTCTCAACCCACTGCACAGTGACGAAGGGCACATTGCTAAATGACGTTGTTGCATGTGTAACACTGGTACTCGCCGTCCTGGATGAATCTGAAGAAGTAGTTGCGGGTGCGGGCGGAACAGGATTGGCCGCATGATTGGCAATTGGAGGCGGGGGCCCTACATCAGCAGGCTCCACTCGGGCTACAAGCGCATCTTCAAGAGAATCGCCTGTGGAAGTGTTGACTGAGGCTATGATAGCTGGTTCGACTGTTGGGTTGCTTGCAAATGGCAGTGTTAGAACGCTGACGACTAGTCCCTGGGCAGACAGGTCCTTGGTTAGAGTGACGGCAGGTACTTGATGGATCCTATACTATGTGAGCTGGCTTCAAAAGTCAGTATGTGAGTATGGAGCTACCCAGAGCTGTAGAGTTCGGTTGTCAAAGTCACTACTGGGTTGGGGGTGGATGTCGGACTTGCTCCCGCCATGAGTGTAGTCTCCCCATCTTGCAGGTATCCAGATACAGGAAGGAGCGTACATGCAGTCAAAGCCGGCAGCAGAAGCATTGAGACGATATGACCCTGCATCTTGTCTGAGATGAAGAGTGTAAAGTAGCTGAAAGTGCTATCTGCGGTGATTTTGAGTGGTGTTGTGTGTAGAGGCTTAAGACCCAAGCGGCGTCCCTACTTCAACAAAAGTGGCGTTGCAGGAGAAAGTTACTAGTGAAGACTCATCGATGAGACGTGAGGCTCTGATAAGAAATCCGAAGAGACCAGATTCCAGTCACCCGCTACTGACCAGCCTTGTGAAACGCCACACCCGTGGTTGGGGTAGCACAACTGGTTGAAAAGAAAGACGGCGTGGAGCGAGAGACGAGATAAGAAAGTGGGTAAGCCAAAAAGCCAAAACCAAAACGAACGTGGGGTTGGGGAGTACCCGAAGTGAAGTGAATGTGAGACTGTAGAGATTCAATATGTGAAAAAGGATTGTGTACGGTGTTGACGTTGATGGCGAAGTCTGGCAAACGGAAGTGACGGTGACGGTGCTGTAGACCGTTAGGAGAAGCGACGATGTATGCTACAGCAAGTGACGGCCAGTGTTGAGTGTGCTATCCTGACTTTCTAATTTACCCTAGAAACTACATCCCTTAGTAAATGATTGCATTATGTTGTTGTTCTGCACCTTGTCGTCCGACGTGCTCCAATCCTTCGGTAGCTCGCCATGGAAGAGAAAAGCAGACAGTGACGTGCAGATGTAGTCTCTACCGCAACCACAACTTCCAAGTTGAGATAGGGAGCTGCGGTGTTGGAGTGACGTTAGTGATTCATAGAGATCACAGTCCAATCTTCGTATCCCGACCTACGAAGCCAGACGATTTTTCTTTTCTTACCATATGACACACGTAAACCCCATGGATATGAGATTCTTTGCCATGCATCTGATAACTTGCAGCCTTTACTCTTCCCCACAACCGATGCACGCACGTGTATCGTGGACTGAAAATAACAAGCCTAGACCAGAGCAACCAGCCCAACCCTCACCATCCATGCTGAGCCCGAAAATTAAGCCTTTTACTTCTCCACTCTGCCACCCCAAAAAAGCTAAGCGCATATCTTGGCAAAAGCTTAGCATATCCCGAATCCGGCAACTGGGCGCGTTGAGCGAGCGCGCTTGATAAAAAAAAGCAAAGACATAAAATGGGAGACTGGACCAGACCCTCTTTCTATTTCTGTTCAAAGGGAAAGCGCAAGGCAACAAAGTTTGTGCATTCCCCCGCACTGACACATTCTAGACCTTTTATGTCTTGTGAAAAAAACTCAGGTTACAAAAAGTCACAATTTTGGTGTGGGCTTTGGAGGATGGTAAATGGTACAAAGGTTTCGTCGGGCTCAGCCATCCCAAAAAGCGCATGCGCGCGCGCGAAAGGAGAGCGAGGAGAAAAAAGGCATAGCAAAGAAAATAAGAAAATGGAGGAAAGAAAGGGTGTCTTTTCTCCGAGTAAAACTTTAGCCCCCCCATCCCAAAACAATAGAGCCATTCTCGTATTCTAAACCCGCCTCCCAACCAGCATCTCCATCACAACAAAATATGCGAACCCCATCCTTCCAGAGAGAATAGAAAAAAAAACAAAAGCGTCACAAAAGAAAACATGGCACCCACACACACACACATACACACACACACACACCATCCGGCTTTCTTCGGTGTTGCACCGCAAAGGAAGGAAAAAAGCGAGCCCATCACTAACTAGTCTTGCTTCGCAAAACCCTAGTTTTCCGTTCCACGTTCCACGTCCCCCGCCATCTCGCTTGGTTACGTGAGACGCCCCCCCCCCCCAAAAAAAAAGATATAAAATAGAATATCCTTAGTTGGGGAAAAGGGAAAAATAAAGAAAGAAAAGTGGAGCAAAAAATCCAGATATAGTCCACCACTATGTTAGAAGGAAATGTGAATGTGGGAACCGTGGGAAACATGAGCATTGAAGCCATGCACGCAAACACTCACAATCACACACACACACACACATGCGCCCAACCCCGCTCCGGTCCTTTATCCGCGCTTCCCGTGAGCTATAGACTCGGGACTTTAATTTGTGAGCTAGCAAGGGGATTTGTTTGGGTATGGTCGCGATGAAGGGATGAGATTGTTCCGCGGGATATATATATATATAGATAGGATATACGAGATGGAATAATCCGCAAGTAACCCATTACAGATATATGTATGTACATGTTGTCTGCAAAGCTATTTGGCAGGTTCCCACCATCACAACAAAAATATAAAAAGCTTGTCCACTCGGTCCTCTCAAAATGGGAGGGGGTGACTTTTTTTTTTAGACGAATGCGGACGGGTATGTGCCTAGGCTTCAAAGCGCAAGCCAGGCTGTCCTGTCCTGTCAGTCCAGTCAGCCCCAGCCCGCCATCTGTGCGTCTTTGGAACTAGCGTCAGCCACGCCCGGGTTCCGTCATGTGCCGGGCTCACTAGGCGTACAACTCCAGGGGCCGTGCCTGCAAAAAATAGGCGACATTGCGCGCTCTCTGTCGGCGCGTCATCATTCTATTTTGTTGTTGTGCTGACGGGCCTAATTCCTAGGTCCGGAAGTAGTAAAAGCTAACGGATGGGCTGATCTGTTACCCAGTACGTACGGCTCAAAGGAGAGTCTTCGCTGCCGTATTTTTGAGCCTCAGTCTACCCAGGCCAAGTGGCTTGCACGCTTCCGACTCTACGGCTGAAACTAGTTCTCTCGTATATGTAAGGAACACGCGAGAACAAAGAGACTAAGCCCAGGCAGTGGTGTGCCGCAGACGCAAAAATAAAAGAGACTGGTTCAAGAAACATTGGTTTTGGCAGTGGCGTTGAAGCGACACGAAGAATGGAAGTGACAATGGTAATTGGTGGTATGTTTGATTGTGCGCAAGTGACTAAGCTGGTATCTTCTAATGCCGATTGGGATGAGGATTCCAGTCCAATACAAAATAGTAGCAAGGCTAAACACAATACGAGGCCGAAATCATGTACCGGAAGCGCTGGCGGTATGTGGGGACTGGCAAGCAGAATGCTTTCTGGTTCAGAACGGGAGCGATGTGGTACCATTCCAAGCAGGACGACATGCGTAATGATCCAAACTGTTTTGGCCGTGCTAGACAAAACAGACCAAGCTTGGTGCTGACTGCAAAAGCCTGATTGCGGAGAACAAGGGTATATACAAGAAAAGAAAGCGTGCAAAGAAGCACATCTAAGGCCGTGCCAAGCAGTAAATATGTTGGAGAAGGAGTAATGTAAATAGAGCAATCAGAATTTGCGTGTCGTTGCGACCGAGTTAAAGATATATGTGCCTCAAGCTGGAATAGCCGGAATTATGACAAAAACGCCGTAAATGTCTGGGGGGGGGGGGAAGGTGATCGTATACTCATAAAACGAGTCCCGAGTCCATGACAAGCTCGCGGGACAAATGACTGTCTTTGCGATGGATGGAAAGAAAAGCGAGAAAAGCGGACTTTTGTGTTGCAAAGTTTGTAGCGGGTCTCGGGCGACTACCATGCCATGGCTAAGCTGAGCATGGAAATGATTGATGGAATGACGATTGATGATAGCGGAACGCCGAATATGCTTGTCGCCGCGTTCTTGTACGTTGTCTGGCCAGGAGTCATGTCGCCCTTGGGGTCTGTCGAGAAGAAGTACGTCTTGGCCGCTTCGGCGCCTTGACTTGGGTCCGGTGCGCTCATTTGGTTGGGAATGGCACAGACCTTGGCCGGGTCGAATGTAGGACAGCGCTTCTTGTAGTCGTTTTGCGATCGCTCGGTATCAGTTGAGTTGAAGTAGCTCTTGAGGTAGGAGATTGTCATAACAGTGTCTCGGTCGGGTGGTCCTGCCGACCATGATGGGTCGCCATTGCTCCAGTGGTTGAAGAAGATGCTGCCGCCTTCCTGGGGAACGTTTTCGGTCATTCGGTGGAGGAGTTGACCATCAACAAAAAACTCGACGCTGCCAGGGGTCCAGTCAAAGCGGTACTCGTGGAACTTTTCGTCTGGGCGGAATGGGAGTTGCTTGACTACAAAGCCGTTTGTTCCCTGAGCAGCGAAACCGTTGGAGACGGATTGGGGGCTTTGGAGAACCAGGTTTACGGCGCCTTGGGATTCGTTGAATTGATGCGAGAGGAATTCCATGTCAATTTCTTGCGAGTTGTTGTGGTACTGCGACTGTTAGCCAGGGGACATGGTTTGAGTGGGCGCGTCATGGCGGCGTACAAAGAAGAATGCGCCGCAAGTTCCAGACGAGTTGGACAACTTCATGCCCACACGGAAACTGCCGAGTAGCGAGTCGTTGCGTATGCTAACAATCTCGGCACCGCTCACGAAGCCGTCTGCGTGATTGCCACGAACCCACAGCTCGAGTCCGGCATCTCCGCCGTGCTCGGCATCTCCCGCCCATGCCTTGTCGTCCTTGAGAGGGTTGGAGAGAACATTGCCGACTTCCATAGCCTTGCCAAAGGGGCCTCTGGCCATCTGGGCCGTCATGTTGTACTGCTGGGGTCTCCATCCTACCGTGGAGAAGTCGTCGGTCTTTGTGTGGAGAAAGTCATTTTCAAGCAGCTCGGTGAAGACGGCATAGGAAGAGTCGCTGGTGGAGTTGACCGAGTATCCGCACTCGCAGGCGGCATTTGCTGCACAGAAACTCGTGGTTAGCGCTTGCGTGCGCCAAAGGGCATGGTGGCGTGAAGGCGGGAGGCAGACTTACAGAAGCGAGAGAGAGCGAGGATTAGCAGGGCGGGCAAGGCGCCCCACGAGTTGTGTAGGAGCATGGCGGCGGCAGAGAAATTATATTAGGGCGGGTAGTCGGCAGGTTGGAGAAGGCTCTTAAACAAAGCAGAAAAAGGAAGGATGGAGTAAGTAAAGAGCGTGGGTGGGTATGCAAGGTGGTGTTGGGCGGAACAAAAGTAAAAAGAGCGTGAGGTAGTGGGAAGAGGTGTAGGGCTGGGCGGACAAGACAAGACAAGACGGAGCAGCAAAGAAGGACGGCAGGGGGGGCTGACGATGATGATGAACTGCTGGGTTGGCCGTAGGGGAGCTGGACATGCCCCCGGGCGTGCATGCCCAAAGCAGAAAGCACAAAATGCAGAACACGACTCCAGCCGGCCTGGGCACCGTCCGCTGCTGTCGCTCCCAGGGATCGCCCGTTAATGGGACCGAGATGATAAATGAACAAGACACTCGGCCCAAGACGCGCAGTGGGGAACCGGCCATGGCCACCTCCAATCGGCCACGCGGTCTGGGCTGGGTGCATCAACTCGTCGCGTGCTGCTGTCACTCTGCACACGACTCCATGCTAACTGGCACTATAGCACGAGGATAGCAAGACTACTTACGGTACTATGCCCTGCTGCGTCCTACCATACGTCCGCTCCCATGGCTTGGTCGACATGGCCTCTGGCCTAGCCTCTTGTCTCGTCCTCTGTCTGCCATGCGCCATGCACCCACTCGAATCCTTCCCGTCTCTAGCTGTCCCAGCCGCCATCCTTCACCCCAAAGCGATCCAATCACCACCCCATCTCCAAGCCCTTGCCGTTCCCTTGGCCTGTCGACTTCCACCCACACGCCCGTCATTTCTGCGCTCCACTCCTTCTGCGGGAAATTGCCCACAGCCCACTGCCACTGGCTCAAAGCAACATGCGCAAAGCAAACAGGGGCCCTGGCACGCGTTTTTTTTTCCTTGTCCCATCCCACCATCACCTACCTGTCTCGTTTTTCCCTTGCCTGTTCCCCTCCCCTCCTGTGTGGAGAGACAAAGAATCGACAAAGATGTCCACTCACACACACCACATCTGCTTTTGCCATGCACGTAAGCGTCTGTGTGCCACTCGGAACCACCGTTTCCTCGTACCCTTCTAGTTCACCCCCCTTTTTAGTCTCGGCCACCGCAACAGCAATAACACCAGCCTCGTATCCTGCACACTGGGTTGCATCCTATTTCAACCCGCCCAGCACCTCGATTGGCCTGAACAACGACGTTGTTATGTCATAGTTCCCGGCACCACGCGCACATACCGCCCCTGCCCATTCCCATGTGACTGCAGCTTGGACTCTTGGAAGAAGTCAAGAAAAAAAGCTGGGGTATTCTTTATTATCCAACGGCTTTTGTGGTTCTTGCACAAAACCTGGTCACCTTGTAATTTCTCCTCGGGCTGTTTGAGGTGAGGCGATCACCCTCTGCACCAATCAGCGTCTGCTTGCACCAACTGTGCAAGTGAGGCAGCTCCAAGGACGGCGGCTACCGGCACACATGCCTACACCCCATCTCGATTAGAGTTCGAAATGACCGACATTTAATCGTTGGTGGCGCCCTTATTCTCTGCAGCAAATGTCACCATTCTGGCTTGAACTAAGTTAGCACCGTCCAATGATTAACAGAACCTTATCCCCTGGTGACTGAAATACCGTCTCGTGCCTATCAGTTTACCTACTCTGCAACCATGCGGAGTCGAACGCCAATCTCTGTGGAGCCCTTACCCGACATGGCTACTCCACGTGGCCGCAAATGGACTGCCACTCAAATACGCAGGGCCAATCCTAATTTCAATTGCCCCCGAGATCACGAAAACATCCCTCGACGTGGAGCCTCGCCGTCCTTGCTTTGCCGCGTCTGACAGACACTTCTCCACTCTCTTGTGCACGAATTCACTCTCTGTCCTGTTTGCCAAGACGAGAAACAGATGCATCGACTCTCGAAGGATGCAGTGAATCTCGGCACAACTTTAGTTACCGCTAACCACCAAGAATCCTCCACAGATGCTATCGATACAAACACGACACGATAGCACGCGACCTTTCCACTAGCACTTCGTGTAGTACAAAACAAACCCCATGCCATGCCTAACTCGCCCTATTTCCCATACACATCGTCTTCTCCGCTCCTAGTCCGATTCTTCCGCAAGATCATCACCGTTTCCTCCCCGCCAAGCACATGCCCATTTGCATCCGCCCGTCCCTGAGTGATTGCCACGTCCATTTACCCAAAGTAACAACGTCCCTTTTTTTTCCCATCCCCGGTCCATGCTATACCGTGACTTGCACAAACCCCCCATTCCCCCGCCATTCCCCCCAAATCCCTCATAACACAACAAACCATACACAGTAAACAAACACAAACAACTTCCCGTCCTTCCCGCCCCCCAACCCCCTCCCCTCGTATCCACACACAACCCCAAGCCAAACACCAAGGAAAACAAACTACTCACCCTACCTTACCATCCCCCCGAATTTATCCACATATACGCCGCCAAGCACGGCCCCGGCATACGAACGGTCGGTCCCTTTTTTTACCCTCTTTCGAGAATACGGGGGTTGGCGCCTTCTTGAGTCGAAATACGAATGGCTTGGTTTTTTTAAGACTCGTGTAGAATGTGTGTGTGTGTGTGTGTGTGTGTGTGTGTGTGTGTGTGTGTGTGTGTGCGGGTTAGGTAATGTAGGGTCTGGGTGTGAGTATGTAAGTAAGTAGGCAGGCAGATAGGTAGGTAGGTAGGGTTCGCCCAATCCTTCACCTTGTGAAAGTATGCGTGTGATTTTGCTATTTGGGATGAGTCATGAACCCCTTCACATATCCGCCGTATGTATGGAGGGATTTATGCAGAAATTATAGTTAGTAGTAAGAAGAGGTGGTGGTGGTGGCACGTTGACCTGTTGTTTCAATACGACACGCGCATGGAATGTCAAACCCCAATTCACACCCACATAGTCCTCAATACTCAAGTAAGTCGGATAATTAGTTAAAAAAAAGGAAACGCGTTTATTAATTCCTTTTTTTGTGGAAAAAAAAGAAGCGCCTATCATGATATAGCAAACAACTAAAGTCAGATTGCCCACGGAAACCATAGCTTTACCCGTTGACGCCCCCACAACGAATCAAACAAACAAAAAACACCAGAAAAGACTGCTGATGACAGTGAAGAGAGGGATAGAGCGTGATAACAAGCGACAGATCAGAAAGTCGCATTGAACTCACACACATACACTACTCTCCCACAACACACCAGACAGTCAAAGGCACATGACAACTCCAAAACAAACCAAAAAAAAATGAGCAGAGAAGTAAACGGATAAAAAAGACCCTATAGGCTGATTGAAATCCAAAGTATCAAAAAGACAATAATCCAAATCGCATCCAAAACTCTTTTCGTTTCTTCGTTAAAGGGTAGAAATAAAAGGGTTTACGTAGCCAAAAGAAGAGGAACAAGGAAGAAATAAGGCAAAAAGGGTAAAAAAAAAGAAGACCAAAGTAAGAGTCAAATGTACACCTAGATAAACGCCGCCAAAAGTCGCATAGATCCGAACAAGACTTTCCCAATGCGAGTTTCTTCCTCGTTTTGGAAAGTGTGGGGGGGGGGGGTATCATCGTCGTGGACACATTCTTTGTTTTTTTTCTTTTTCAGTCTTTTCTTTCATCACAAGAATCCACTCTCAGAGAGCAGTCTAGGAACACCATTGTTAGCGCCATCTTCTATCTTTCTCTCTTCACAAAGATGGTTTTGCGTACCTTGCAATCTTTTCGTCCTCGCGTTCTCTTGGTTCGACGCTCAGACTCATCTCGTACATCTCATGCACATCGCCTGCAGATTGCATGTTGCTGAGGATATATTCTTGCAATTCAGGCACTGGCTGCAGTGGATAGGGCACATTCTGGTACTGCTGGATATCGCGAATGACTTCGGCCGTCTTCGCACGCTTGGCAAAGTTGATGAGATTTGTGCGCTTGATCAGCGAGGGAATACCATCTTCGATGAATGTCAAGTCGGTGAGATATACACCTTGAGTATATGTTAGTATCTATCGTGGTTTTTTTTGAGAGGTCATCGCGTACCAAAGAAGGGTATACAAGGTGGATTCGCCCTGTGCAAAGTGTCTCTGTATTCCGCAAAGTTTTTGGTGCTACCCATGAGTTTACGCATGCTTTCCAACGTTGCCATGGAGCGCTGGTTGACAGCACTCCAAGTTCTGTTCAGACGATGGATCGGCGCAGTACCTAGAGCTGAAATGATGGAAGTTAGAGTAGAAAAGTTGTTCAATTGTCGGCATTTCTGTATTCCATTAGCCACATGCAGTGCAGAGAGGTATACCAGGTTGACTCACGTCTGCTACGTTGACAAAATGCTTAATAACAATCACTCTGCGCTTGACATCTTGTTGGGTAAGGATCATCTGTGCGACCCAGTTTGTCAATTGGTTAGAATGAAGAATAAGCGCTTTGACGTTCGATGCTGGATCGGGCTCGCCAGGTGCAAGCTTCTTTTGCCAAGTCTTGTTCAAGCATTCTGTAGGGCGGATCTTGCCGTAAAGCTTAGATTCAATGATTGTGAGTTGACGAGCGAACTCGGTTGCATCGATGTCGAGGAATTTTAGTTTCTTCATGTGCTTGGGTAGGATGGGCTGTGGTGTTTGGGCACTCAAGGTAAGGACCAACCGTTTGGTTGGCATGTCTGGTCCACGCGATCTTTGCTCGACTGAAGTCATCAATGGTGCTGCTCCAGGGGTACTGGTAGTTGCAACATGGTCTTTGGCAAAGTTGTATACCCGCTGAATCAGGATCCGTGCCTCTTCGTCGTTACCCTCCATCCAGTAGTTATCAAACCAACTCTTGAGAATGTTTACAACACGGAACCTGATTGGCTTCTGCTTCTTGTCTACCCAATGCTGGTAATCTTCTTTTGCTAGACCATGGGGTGGTTGAATACTCCATCGTTTGACCAACATCTCAAAAAGCTCGGAAGCGGTGGTAAAGGATCGGTAGGTAAGCAGGAATGTGTTGTTGAAGGCGGGGTCCAAACGGTCGTGACGGGTCAGCTGCTCAACAAGTCCTGCCAAAGTGCCACCCTTGAGCTGAGGCGGTGTAGTTTTGTGATCGTAGGAAATCTCGCCCTCGTGGTCGAGCTTCAAGAATTCTGGTGTTTCTTCAACTGCTTGCTGTGGAATGACTGGCACTTCACCAAAGAAATCCTTGAGCTTCTTGTTGCTGTTGGCAGAGCGGATCGGCTCAACTTTCGTATCGTCATTTCCAAGGGACGATCCTGGGCTGTATGTGTCAGCCTTGGGCATGTTACCAAGCAATGGCCTCTCAGGTCCAGATGGAATGCGAGCGTGACTAGGTAGTTCGCTGTCGGTGTTTCTCCGAGGATCTGAACGGCTTATGATATCATCCAAGGGAATGTTTTCTGACAGGTTCTGTAGCAGGGCATACTCCTGGGCACAAGTTGTCTCGAGTTCACGGGCGACGGCTCGCACAGCGTTGATTCGGTCCTCTAGAGAGTCTCCCCGTAGTTCGGCCCATTCGTCTCCCAAAGGCGCCGCTACTCCTTGACATGCTATCACAAGTTCGGAGACTATATCATAAGTCTTTTGTTTCTGTATGCTGAATTCGCTGAGCTGCGATCCTTGAGAGTCCAAGTCCAAAGATGCGAGGTTGATTTGTTCAATGGTTGAGATCCAGGGTCGGCATGCTTCAAGCACCTTGCTTGCCGCGTTGCATACGTGGTCGCCAATCTCCTGATGTTTTTGGTGTGAGATGACGGTATCCCGTACGACCAAGTGGTCGTCCAAGCGACGAATGCTTGAACCAATCAATCTCTTTACATCGTGCAACCTTTCCAGGACACGAGAGTCTAGCTTGAGAGTCGGCTCGACAGAAGACGGCTCGTGGTCTTCTGCGTCAGAGTACATCGAGGTATTGACATCCCTGGAGTCTGCGCCATTGTTCTGCCAGCTACCGCCAATGGTGCTGCCGACCACGAATCCAGGCACAAGGCGGGGTATCTCTTCACCCCGCTGCTGACGAGCTACTTCCACGAATCCAAAGACACCATTCATCACGCCCTCTGCTTCTTTCAGACACTTTGAGTAAGAGTCTGGGGGAGGAAAGTCGGATGCGGCAATGTGCGAAGAAAGGACTAGCTTTGAAAAGCGCGACATGGTCTCTCTGAAGTGAGGATATAGGGCCTTGTTGGTCGATATGATGGAAGGGTTGCCAGAGTGGTTATCCGTCGTTCCCGAGCCAGCTGCAAGTAACAGCCGGAGGTGATCTGAAATGTCTTCAGCACGCTTTACAAACTCGGACCTATCGCTGTTGTTGATGGCCTGTTTGTATCGTTCAATCGCGCGTCGCATATCTTCGACCATCCTGTTCCAGGTAAGAGGGACTGGGCTGACATCGTCGTAAAACTTTCGTGATTGTGGGAGAGTACTGTTGGGTCCACCTAGGCCAGGGCTGTTTGCAAAGGACGTGGCCGTGGTACCAGCAGGAGGCATTGCAGCAGAGGCGGCAAAGCTCATGCTACTTTGGTCGTAGGCCCTGCCATGGTAACCCCCATTCATTGACTCCATGGAGGTGGCTGATGAGAGTCCACCGGACAAGCGTTGTCTGTGCTGTAGTGCAAAGTCAGAGGGGCTCTCACATAAGTGGGAGGGAGGGTGAGCGGTTCGATACTTACACGAGAGGAGTAGGAACCCTTTGTTCCTGGACCTTCAAAGTCGGATGCGGATGTTTCGTCGTCTGTGTCTTCCATGTTGTAGCCAGAGCCCGAAGCCAGTATCTCAGCAGGCGGTCGCGACATTTCTGGAATGAAGACATCTGTGCGGTTGCGCGGGCCACTCTCATTTGTGGCGGGTGACTCGAGCGGTAGCTCCATGGTGCTTACGCCGGTCAGGGTGTTGAAGTAAAAAAGCCTTCCATCTGGGGTAGCTTGGGGGATCCAAAAGGCAGCCTCCTCCTCCTTGTTGTTGGTGGATGCGGTGTTGCGCTCAATGGGCAGGATGGTGTCGTTGCCGCCGCTCAGGGAGCCATCGTCGGAATAGTCGCCTTCTGCGCCACTGGCTGAACGAGTATCGTCGTCGGCGTCGGCACCGTCTCGGTCTTCCTCGATGTCTTCGCTAGGCCGCTGCACGACGGCGCAGTAGTTGCTTGGAAACCAGCCACGGACACCATGGATGACTCCGTCCCACCATCCACTCTCCAGCTGGGTGATGACTTGTATTATGTCGCCGGTCCGGAAGCTTAAGCTGGTGCGGTCGTCGGCCTGGTAGTCGTATAGGGCCTTGACGTACATGCCGCCAGCGTCGGTCGTGCCGCTGAAGCCGTTCATGTTGGAAGGCGCGACCAGCTCGAGGGGGAACGGGATAGGAGAGCAACAACGACTTCTGCACACTCGGGTGCAAGATGCCCCTCTACTGCGACCCAGGACAAGAGCAGAAGAGTTCGCAAGGTGGGCCGCTCGTTCTTACAGCGCGGTCGATTTCGAGGGTCAGATAGCCCGCGTGTTATGGCCGGGGGGTGGGTGAGGGCATGCAATTGGGCTAGGGGCGGGACCGGCATGCGAATGAGGAGCCTTGCATTCGCGCCTCGCTGAACTGCACAGCGAATAGAGTCTCGCAGCGGGCACTTGTGTATGATTATCGTCGAGAGGAAGAGAGCTCAGGAGCGAAAGAAACTGCAACACCAGGGCGGGTCGCTGGGCAGGCGTTGTGAGCGGTGGAGGCCCCCCGAATGTGGGGACACTGCTGCCACAAGTCACGTGAAGAGCTGGGTTTCTGGATAAAAGAAGCTAACAATGTGTCAAGCCCCGGGCCCATCCCTCAATCCAAGCCCTCGCGGAGCCCGCTTTGCTTGTCTACAGCTTGTAATATTCATGCGTATCTACATGCGAAGCCCGCCTGCAGCCCATGTTGTGCATATACGCACAACCTGTCTGTCCAGATGGATGGTTATGCTGCTGGTCATCCGGAGCCGGCTGCATGTCCATTGTCTGTCCAAAAGCCGCCGGTCCAACACGTCGCGTAAGATTTGTTGTCTGTCAGATGGCCGTTTAAACACGCCGGCCTCAAGCATGTCTATGTAAGTACACACATACTATGTACACCATACGCATCAGAGTAGTCTCTCTACGCCTGGCCAATAATGGTCCGACAACGTCATGAACCGTGCGAAACCCCCACCCACGGCTCCAGTACGGATGCTAGATGCGGTATGTGAAATGTAGGACGTACATCATCCATAGTAGGTATGCATGTATGTCAGTATGTAAGTATGCAGGCGCGCCGAGTGGAAAGCCTGGCGACTGAGCGGGGAGGACCTCAGGCGTTCCATACACTCGTCAATTCATCTAGAACACTGGCTGACTCGTTGGCTAATTCTCCTTCTATGCGCTATGGAACGTTGTCCCAAAGACGGCAGGGACCTGTCGCCTTTTGCGGGCGGATACCGGAGCAATTGAGCATGATACCACCCTACCGGTCTTGTGCGACCGTCCAGTCGTCCGACTTCTGACCCTTGGCGTCCTGACACTCTGCTTGCGCCGAACGATACTTGCAGCTGCGCAAGTGGCCAAGAGCCGCTCAACGAGTTGTGCAACCTAGTCTGGCGAGGCTGATGGTAAAGGTAGAGAGCATGTGGAACACTGGAAGCTGCAAAGTCAAGCAAGAGCCGCCAGCCCCATGGACGCGAGAGCGGTGACTGACACGCGCATCTCATCGTCGAAGACGCCATGGAAGCTTTGAGTGATCATGGAGGAATTAGCGGCCGATACCATTCTCGAATTTGCTTAATGTGTCGCGTGGAAGCGGAAGCCTCGACTTCTGGGTTCTGCGACACTGGGCTGGAGTGGTGTGTGGGCCGGCCACCCGCCCAATTGACCATGATGCTGCTGTCACTCCCGGGGTGGCAGGGAGATTGTTGGGATATGACGGGATATAGCGAGGGCAAAGGGAAGCTTGGTTGTAGTAAGTACGAGTAAGCAGCACATGGCAACGGGAGCGGCGCTGGACGTGGAGGTGTCTCCGGACGGTGTCCAGAGGCCATGACCATATTTGTTCGTCACCAAACGGTAAAAGGGAAAAAGGGCAGCAGCCACCGAGCATTTCAGCTTGCGTCTTCAGACAATGGCGAGCACATGGACACGGGCAATGCCCCGAGCCGGCCATGGTCCCTGACACTAAGTAATTCTAGTCGGTTTGCCTTGACCTTGTTGAAATTATCTCACGGCGCAGGCGGATCGGTAGCGGCTCTATGGCGTCCGTGTTGCGCGAACAGACCATGACCTGCCACATGAAACCTCGACCACGAAGCCGCGTTGCGCTTCTAAAGCATTACGTGAAGCGTTCTAGCGCGAGGAGGGGCGAGGGGCGAGGGAGGGGGGGCTTTTTTGCCCAGCAGCCATGCATGCCCCTCGCTGACACTGAGGGGTTGTGAGAGAGATAGCACGAGGCATGTGGCGCGAGGGCGCAGTCCAACGAACTGACGGTGAAGGCAAAATGGGCTGGCGCGGGAACAAGGCCGTTTACCAGACCGCGACCGACGCTATGTGCTCCAGGACATACGCGCATCCCCGATGCAAGCGGGGCATGTTAGTGGGCTCTTCTAGGTGCTCTGCTGCTTACCGGGAAGGCAGGTAGATGGGTGTTTGCATTTTTGTGGTGGACAGTGACGGTGGTTGTGGTGGTGGGGGGCTGGCGCAGGTCAAAGGGCAAGGTTGCTATGGGCCTGTTGGCATTGTGATGGCGAGGGACAGGCGTAAAAAAGCATTCCATCGTCGCGCGATGGCTTGTTTTGAGTGCGGTCGACAGCAACGAGCTGCTGCCGTCTGGTGCATGTGTGGACCGGGCTAACAGGAGGATTGTGGGTCCGGGGAACGGGATCATGGCCCGGAGGTATGGATAGAGTTCCAGGAACGAGTGAGGGCAGCCGACGATCGTCTCCAAATTACTCGCAGCCACACAGCAGCATTTCGTAGTGCGAGTTTGAAGGGTGCTCCTGGCGTCATCTTGTTGGCTCCGTGAGCGAGGGGCTGCAGCCACCCCTTTTTTTATTTTTACTATTATTATTATTATTTTTTGCCGGGTGAGGTCATCATGGGCCAGCGATTGCGGCCAGCGAGGGGCAACACCCGCCTGGGTGGTGTGCATGTGTATGTATGTATGTATGTATGTAGTGTAGGGTTGTATGTAGGGTTGGGGTTCGTGCCAACATGAATGGCGCAGGCACACAGGCACGCAGAGTGAGGCGGTGAGGCTCCATGCGCTCGGCCTGCATCTGAGGAATGGCGCCCCAGCAGACTACTCACTCAAGAGGCAAAAGTCGTCTGGTCATTCTTACCGCCTCTTTGAGATGTCGAGCCACAAGTGGTGGATACAGAGGGCGACTCCGCTGCCAGCGCGTGGTACGGCGAAAGCACGCTCGGCAAGAGCCTCGTGCGATCAAAATCATTGGCCACGCGATTGCCATGTTGCAATTGGGTCCAGCCCGTCAACTAAGGGAGTACCCGGTGTGCAGGCGCAACTGCAGATGGGCGGTATGGCTACAAGGACCTGGCTTGGGGGAGGGAGGGGCTGTAGGGCGCGGCAGGGCGGCAGAACGCGAGAGGGGTGCGAGGGGGAGGGAGGGGAGTGTGCGTGATGGAGAGAGGGAGAGTGGCACAACAGTGGGAGACAGGCTCGCTCCAAGCAGCCATGCTCATGGCAAGAAGGCGTGGGCACGCAGCAAACCACGGGCGGGCAACCCTGCACGACACACTGTCAATGGGCAGCGATAGATACAAGCAAATATAACGTGGGATGCGACCGCTGTACACCTACTTCATCAACAATTGGCGTTGGATTCGCTAGCGCTGTCATGCTGGACGTAATTATTCGGTCCCGCGAGGAAATCACAGGGGATGGCTGGGCTGGTGAGCCTGCTATTTGGCGGACTGTGCGTTGTGCCTCTCTCCCCCCCCCCATCTTGTGATTTTGGCTGCTGCCCCTCTTGGTCTCCTTATTCCGCCCTCGCGCCGCTCGCATCCATCTCAACCCTCACGCAGCCCGCGGCCTTCATCATTGCGCACGCAGCCCTGGGGCGCTGACGTCTGTATATCGCGCTCTGCCGCCGGCCACTCCTGTCCTGTGCTCGCATTTTCTGTTGTGTATACAAAACGCGCGGGATGAACGACGGGCACAGCCACTGCACCTCGCCCATCAACACACTTTAACGCTCGCGCGCGCCGGCCGTTCCATCATCCCCTCGCATCGGCCTCCAGCTGCTGCAGTTGCCCGCTGCATCTCTGCATTGCCGTGATGGCGTCCAACTCGTCGCCCGCCGGCCGCAAGACGGGCGCGCCGGAGAAGAAGTACAAGTGCCAGTTCTGCAACCGCGCCTTCAGCCGCAGCGAACATCGCAGCCGTCATGAGCGATCCCGTAAGTGCCCTCCCCTTGCCCAGCGTCGCCATGGGAGCTCTGCCTGGCTGGAGCGGGGTAGCTGTTTACTGCGGCGGGACACCTTCGCGCCGTGGTCGCGCTGCGGGGAAGATTGACACTGTGTTGCTAACTGCCCCTCACCGCAGACACAAAGGAACGCCCCTTCAAGTGCCTCAAGTGCCGCAGCACCTTTGTGCGCCGCGACCTCCTCCTCCGCCACGACCGCACTGTCCATGCAAAAGACGGCGGCGCCCCGCTGCCCAGCGAGCAGAAGCGCCGCAGCACCACAAAGGCCGCCGATGCCGGGCCCTCGAAGCCCGCCCCCGTCGACAATGCCACCACCCTCGAGCGCATCCAGCACGACTCCGAGGCCATGCACGACGATGACGACCTCAATGCTGCCGCCATGCTCATGACCGACTTCCACCACAAGGCCATGGCCAGCCAGGAGCCTGAGATGATTCCCGAGCACAACGAGCCCGTCATCTCCCCCACCGGGCCCCCCATGATGGAGCCCGTCATCCCCTACACCGCCCCTGGCCAGAACATGCTGCCCCAGATGCCCTGGAGAGACTCAATGGTCCCCCAGTCTGAGCCCAAGTCGTCGCCCAACACCCACTCGGCCTTTACCTCGGCTGCCGCCCTCGGCTCCCACCCTCACCAACTGCCCCCTCTGATGGAGCGCACCATGTCGGGAAACGACAGCCTTGCGCCCACCTTCTCCGCCATGAACGGGGGCAACGGCCTCGGAACCCCCGGTGCTCTGTCGCCCTATCCCTCGATGATGGGACCCGTTTCGCCAGTCGACTACCGCAAGTCGCCCGGCCCTAACCAAGCCTTGATGATGACCCGAGCCCCTCAATTGGACTCGGAAGAGCAGTGCGCCAGGATCTACGAGAATATCAAGCAGTATGACAGTGAAAACGCGCTTCTCGAGACATTCCACCTTCCCAGCCTCAACACCCTCAACCGCCTGCTCAAGACTTACTTTGATCTGTTCCACCACCATCTCCCCTTTCTGCATCCCGCCACATTCAACCCTACAGAGGTGTCGGCCCCGCTGCTCCTTGCTGTCCTGTCGATAGGTGCCCTGTACATATTCGACCAGGACCAGGCATATATGCTGCACATCGGATCAAAGGTTCTCGTAAACCAGTTTCTGCAGAACAAGGAGAACTTTAGCTCGCGCAAATGCCCCCTGTGGACCATGCAGAGCACACTGCTCAACATGATCTTTTCCAGCTGGAGCGGTGACCCAAAGGGTCTCGAGTGGGCCTGTTCGATTAAGAGTCTTTTGGCCAACATGGTTGCCGGAAACCGATACGAGCTCAAGCTTCGGTCAGATGCGCGTGATGGTGCCCAGCCAAACCACGAGGAATGGGTCGTTGACGAGCAGTGCCGCCGAACATACTACGCAGTCTACATCTTCTTTGGTCTGCTCACTCTTACCTATAACCACACACCTGCTATGGGTTTCAATGAATTTGACACGCTGGAACTTCCCTCCTCAGAATCCCTCTGGACTATGGAAGTCTCAGATGACGATGCCTGGCGTGAAAGCCTGAGCTCGTCCAAGATTATCACGTTCCGTCAGGCGCATGACAATCTCTTCCAGGGCGAGACTGCACGCTATAGTGCCTTCGCCACGCGTGTCATGATCAATGCTCTGTTCCTCGAGGTGTGGTATCACAAGCGCAGCCCTGAAGCTCTCCAGGACGTGGTTACCGAGTACAAGCTCCGGCTGGCTCTTGAGACATGGGAAAAGTCGCTTGAGCTGTGCGAACCTGAGACTGTTGTCGTTCAGCTGAGCGCCCCCCACAAGGGCCACCCTCTAATCTTCAATGCCATGGCGCTATATAGGAACACGCGCGCTCGACTAGTCGTTGATCTCAAGTCTATCCAGGAGGCTCTCCGTTATCACGACTCGTATGAAGTCGCTGCTGCCATGACCAACGCTCGTGACAAGGTTCAGCGCTCACCAGAGATGATCAAGGTAATCCAGGAGTGCTTTGACTGCATCGAAGTCGCTGCCGTGCAAGGAATCCGCTGGGTTGCACGTACTTCAGCCACCAATTGGAGCATCGAGCATCCTCTTACTGGTATGGACCTGATGGTAATTTTGACCTTGTGGCTCTACCGTTTGGAACACGACGAGGAACCAGCCACCGAAGAAGAGCTAGCCATGTACAACAAGCTGCGTAACCTGTTCGACGATGACTCGGTCGATGTCTACGGAGCCAAACTAAGCTCTACTGTCGCTCGACTTTGGGGTAGTATGATTGACGAAGTTGTTGTTTGGGGGTATGTTGATCTCTTGATTACTCTGCGAAACTTGTCACTAACTCTGCGTAGCATCACCAAGCTTATGGGCGAGGCCTTCAAGCTCCACTCACAAGCCCTTGTCGGCTATGAGGACGCCATGTCTTCTCGCTCTGGATCCGCTACACCGTCCATGGCGGCTGGCGGTGTCCAAGTACTCGAGATGCAAATGGCCTACTAGGGCCATGCGATTGACCTCTAGCACTCTACTCACGATCTGTTTTTGATTTTTTGTCTATTTCTCTGTTTATCTGTCACTGGGATTCTTTGTTTGTCTTGCTACAGTCACCTCCTTGCATCTGGGAGCATGTCATGGAGTTTGGGCGTGTTGAGCATTAGTACTCTATTTCTTATCTCTTTTCATTTTCTCAAGATTGGGGTAATACGGCGCACAGGGGCAGTCGTCCAGATTGCTACACACTTGAGCATGCGCTCTATTTGTTTGGCGTCCTTTTAATATCTTTCCCTCGCTCATACCCATCGGCATTTCTGGACTAATGGAGGCTGGCCCCAGGCGCGTCATCGCTCTGCTTCGGTCCTGCTGCCTGTATTGCCTCTGCTGCATTTCTGCTAATACCGTTTGTTTGCTGTCATTTTTTGCAGTCTTTTCTATTCGTCATGGAGCTTTTGGGGTTCGATGTGCATATACCATAGTATTTCATGAGGCGCCTTTACGTGGCGGCGGAGGGCAGGGTGGAAGTAGTAGATTGACCATGCCGAAGTGTGGGTAGATTACGATTTCAAATATTATTGTATGAACACATTTCTGCATGAGTATGTCGGGATTAAACGCAGGCAGTATGTGAAGCCCATTGGATCTCAGTGTTGCCGACCACAATCTGACGTTCAGTGAAGCCGCTAATCGATAATGGCTACCCACGGACCACCATGCATAACTAGCGCGAAGAGCTCCAATTGAACTTTTCCAAAAATTTCGAGGCCCAGCTACACCAGCCCGTCTGCTTGCAGTTCCACGCATTGTCCACCATATTCATATATCCCTCTACTTTGGCGTTCTAGCCCTCAAAACACAGTCGCATACAGTCACAATGTCGAAAGATATCGAGGAGAAGAAGCTGAAGAAGGACAAGAAGGACAAGAAGGAAAAGCGCGCCGAGAAGGATGGCGTAACCAAGAGCAAGAAGGACAAGAAGGAGAAGAAGATCAAGGGCGATGTCGAAATGACCGACGCGCTAGAGGCAGAACTCGAGAAGGAACCTGAGGTCTCCATGGTCAATGTCGTAGACGGCGCATCCGGCGACGACGAGCCTCGCGGCGCCCTCGTTCCCTTTGCATTCCCACTCGCCGACAACGACAAGGAAGTCAAGAAGATTCTCAAGACCGTCAAGAAGTGTACGTCACCATTCCCAATAAAAAACGCGCTCACACAATCCACACATTTCGACTAACCTTTTTTTTCAAATAGCCGCCAAGTCCAAGACGCTCCGCCGCGGTGTCAAAGAAGTCGTCAAGGCGCTGCGCAAATCCGCCGCCGCAGGCGCTGCTTCTACGCTTAGCGACCCCACCGCCATTGTCGTCATCGCCGCCGACATCTCGCCCATGGACGTCATTGCGCACATCCCTGTCCTCTGCGAAGACCACAACGTGCCCTACATCTACATCAAGAGCCGCGCACAGCTCGGCGAGGCTAGCGCTACAAAGCGACCTACCAGCGTTGTCATGATTGGCAAGGATAAGCTTGGCAAGAAGGCAGGAGAGGGTGATGATGAGTTTGCTGAGGCGTATGCTGAGCTTGTTAAGGTTGTGGCGAAGGCTAGCAAGACCGTGAGGAAGTAAATGTACGAAGATGTGGGTGTAAGAGAGGCTAGTAGAAGAAGAAGTTGTCTCTTTTTTTGGGGGCGATTCGTGAATGTTTTCGAATAGTCACTTTGTTGAACACACCAAAAAAAGAAGAAGAAAACTCCGGGGGGTGGTGGAAACATGGACGAGGAGTCTGGCGTTTGTTTCGCGTTTTTTCTCTCGAAATGCGGAAACTTGGGGGCTTACTTAGCTAGTTACTGTCATACTGATTTGCCATGTCAATTGGTATATTCCGGTTGCTTTTTCAATATATCTAAATACTATTAAAAACTCACTTCCTGTTCTCTCTCTCTCTCTCTCTCTCTCTCTGCCTTCTTACTCTTTTCCAAGTGTGTGCATAATTGCTGCTGTCATACTTCCCATCCTTAATTTTTTTTTTCTTATTCTTTTTCTTTTAGATTTGTTTCTTTCTTTGATCTCGCACTCTCTGGTACTGATATATGCTATTATTTTATATCCATCTCTTCGATCGCGCAATCCAGTTCGTTTCAGAATTGTGCTTTTTTTGTTTGTTTTCAGGGACACGTGTTCGAGGGGTTAGGGTATACCTCTGTTTGGGTTGAATTTTCAGGTACTAGTCACATCGGTGAGTATGTTTATGTAATCTAAATGGTGTGTTCTGGATTAGCTTTTTTCTCGGCTGCTTGTGCTAGCATTTTTATTTCTGAGGGGTTTTTCGGGCTTGTGGGTTGACGTGGTAGTTTGTGATGTGTGGTTGGATATGGGTGTTTGAAAGGTAGTGGTTGCGATGATGTATAGTGTGCGTGCTTTTTTTGTTACGTGTTGTCTATTTTTTTTTTCTCTCTATATCTGTGATGTGTATTGAGACCAAGAGAGGGTATCCTGGGTAGGATGCTTCTTGGTGTAGTGGTGGGAGAATGGTGCGAGGATGCGTGGCTGCATTTTGTTAAATGTAAGTTGCCACATTGAGAAAATGCGTCAGATCGCGGACTAGATGGAGCTTTTTATTAATTAGTGGACTTTTCGTTGTCTTTCCACGCTCATGGAGGGGTACTAAAGTAATTAGAGGGTTGTCGTTACGTTCTTGTTGTAAGATTCTATTCCAGATCTCAAGCTGGCATTACATAGTCCAGATCAAATCATGAACGAGTAGTACGCCTCGTACAATCTCATGACTTCAAAATCTCAAGAGATGAAATAAATGCTGACGTAACGCAGCAGAAGACGGAAGAACTATCTCAGAATCATTATGTGTATCGTGAATAATCCGGCCGACAGAAATCTAAGAATTGAGCCGACTGGGGCAAACGAGTTATCCCTTCTCACTTCTGACTTCTCATGAGGTCACCACCAACATTCCAACGTAAAGGTATGAACAGCTTCGCAACACCAGATTTGTTCATTCACTCTGTCTAAGTTCACCAACGCCATGGTACTGGTTAGAAAACACGAGTCACCTGACCAACACATCTCTATCCACAAATTATTACATAGGCCGACAGCAAATCTACAAAGAATATGACCACCCCTCCATCTGATATTGGGCTTTTTCCCAGATCCATGAAATCTTGACGATATCATTCGATCCACAGCACAGTCGAGGTCTTCAGATCTAGATCGGAACGATCAGATATCTCGAACATGCAGTGACGATCGAGCATAGCCTATATCAGCCCAGCGAGAAAACCATTAGATTTTGTCGCAATGGGCCACTGAAGAAATTTAGTCATATTCTGAATGTATTCACAATAATCTCGTTCTTGGACTGTAGCCGCTCCCTAACTCCTTCTGGCTTGGTACCCGAAGTAGATTGATATCGTATTCAACGAGATCTTTATTTGGCCGATATATGTTATCTCTTCGAATCGACTGGTACAAACGAGCTATGAACTAGAGGCAAAATCATTACGGATGAGGTTTAAAGAAACAGTACAGTGATGGAAGATGCTGCTTTTGTTCTATTCTACATCAGGCTTCTCATATGAAACTGAACATTTTAATTTAGTGACAGACGTACCACAACTCCCTAGACACCTCCAATACTTTACTATAGATACTTGATTTTTCCATGCTAAACTCACGCGTACTGTATCACATTTCGAATCTTCAAGCCATTCCCTAACCTTCATCTTTCAACGCTGTCCACCCATTGCTACTTCTGAAGCTTCACTACTCGCAATTTACTCCCGACATGCATTTCCTTCGCCTCGACCTGCTTGTGAAGCTCGGACATTTATTTCCAGCATTCATAAATACATCAGTGATGAAATGTTAAGCTAATGCTCCCTGTCTTGTGAGGTCTACTGGGCCATGCTCATGCTATCATCAAGTCATACTCCAAGGTGAAAATTGCGATGGCAATTATGTAAGTTCTGATGGCGTATCAGATGAGGAACCTTAGCTGATGTGATTTAAATTCTAGAAATGTGAATTCAACCCGGCCTAAACATGACGAAGGCGATTATGTTCTACCAATACATTGATTAGTACCAGTAATCTAATATGGATGTAAACTCTGCTCAACTACTCAAGTGAACTCCGCATGTTTTCATGCTTCTCTACTATCTCCTATACTGTTATATCATGAAACTGACTCTCCAGGTGCACCAACTGCGCGGTCTCCCACGCCGCCAAATCCATTGGTCCCACCTCCCACCTCACCCCTCTCCACCCCTCAAATACACTCTTTGCTGCCTCTTCGCGACCCTCAGATTCAAACACTTGCACAATTCTCTCCGCACCACGAACTGCCACCTTAGCCACCTCATCATCTCCACGTTCAACCTCACGCCCAACAGCTGTAACAACCCTCCTTACCGTCTCACCAACCCACCATCCCTGTGGCACCAAATCCGCAAGCGCAAACCACCACGCTATAAGTACCAGAGCGCGGGGTTCGCGTTGCCGTACGAGATGAAGAAATTCCGGCATGAGGAAGGATGGGAAGACAGGGATGCGGATGCCAAAGTCTTCGGTAAGGCGGTGATAATACAGTGAGAGAAAAATCGGGGATAGAGCGTGAAAAGCCGGTAGAAGCGTAGCGATATATGGCCTGGGCTCATCTTGTAAAGACACGGTGCTTTCAAAGAGTGCTGTGAGAAGGGGTGGCAGGAAGAGACCATGCTGATCCGCAAGGTGAGAGGATGTGTATGTTGGTGGTGGATTAGGAGATGTGGGTGTGGCGCCCAAGGGACCGGTGGATACACAGGTAGCTGGGTTGATGATAGGTGGTGGAGGCAGTATACGCGACTCTCGTCGTACAAGTGGATATACAGACAGCTTCTCTATACCATGGTCCCAGCGGAGAGAGGCTAGAACGCGCAGGCCCTCGCTGAGTTTCAATAGCGAGAATATCCAGTCTAGGTATTCGTCGTCCGTGTAGGAGGGCAATGGTAGTACTAGGGAAAGCAAAAACGTTCCTGTTGCGAGCACAGCTTCGTAATTCTCCAGAGTGATGTGTTGAAGTGCGGTTTTGTAGGACTCGAAGGTTTTTTGTCTGTATATCAGGGCTTGCTTTTCTACTTGTTTACTTGGAGTTTGGATATTGCTTTGTGTGGCTGCGATGCTTAGAAGTGAATAGAGTAGAAAGGTATGCGAAATGCCCATTTTTGGAACAACTTCTTTGTGTACATTCTTGACCACCGGGTCATCCCACATTACGAAGCGCTGCCAGACGTGGGTTGCATAGTATTGCAGTAAATAGTGATCGAGTGAGGTAAATATACCTATTGATGTATTGGATGGAGGAACGAGAGATTGAAAGGAAGAGATGCAGAAATCAACCTCGTTACTCAGGGGTTGTGGTGAAGTCTCGTGACTGGATAATGATTCCGGTGTTGCCGATGAAGACTTCTGAACATATTCACAATCGAACTTTCTCTGGCTGCAGTAACGACATTTTGGCCGCGCCTCATCGCACTACATTGGGTTATTCGCAGTCTCCAACGAGAACCGTTGATCGAACCTTGACTTTCTTCCTTTTACACGTTAAGCATCCGCCTCTTGATTTGGAATGTGGCTGTTTGCTCACAAAGCCGGGACTCCGACGCACCATTGGATTTACGTTAGTATTGCTTTGTAGAGTTAATGTTTCTATATGAGGCTGGTTGGAGCTATGTGATGTGTAAGGCGCCCAGCCGCTATGATCCATCCTTGTAGTCTTCTACGTCATCTAAAACGCGAGATTGGGTGTGATTAGGCCACTTTTTACAGAGCACAACCAATGTGATGATAGTGGCCGAAGTCTAATCCCATTTGAGAGACTACTGTTTCGATTTTGAATTCGACTTTTTTCTCGCGTGCAACCTTATTTGATCTATAAATAAATACAAGCAAAATACTAGCGATGATACGGCTAGAAACAACCAAAGTGCGAAAAAGAACCCATGTTTACTTTACCTCTCTAGCCTCGCAATCGATCTGTGCTTGCACCTTCTCAGCCTGTGCTACATACCGTGGAGGCTCAAACAATAGCAATAACACAACTACCAGAAACATCGGTACCGCATCAAAACAATACAGCGTCCACTCATGCGCAATGAGATATGCCGCGTTCCCCATCGAATATTCGATCAGCCTGAACACACAGCGCAAGAGAATGAGTGCACTGACACTGTAAAGAATATACAGCATCCTCTCCCATGGCGTATCGATCACAGGTCCAGAAGCACCAGCAACACGCCTCTTCATCCTTAGGTGAAAATCCCCCGCTGCAACGAGAAAAACCATAAAAGTAGCAACTTGCAGCGCAAGCCCCGCAATAACAATCTTTTCCCCCGCTATAGCGAGCGAAAGTTGCATCGTACCCATGATACTAGCACCTGTTCACCTCTCCATTAGCATCTGTTCCTCCAATTCCCCCTTCGCACACCCACATCTTGCCTCAAAAAAAAGAGATAGAAAGAAAATAAAAGACTCACCCAACCCCTGCACAACCAACGTCGTAACATCCGCCGTCACAAACCCCCTAGTATACCACCTCGCCCTCCCTCCCACAATCTCCTCCGCACCCGCAAGCCGAATCGTACGGCCCAGCATCATATACACCGTCGCCGCGAACCACAGCGGTCCAATCAGCAACAAAACACCCTGCGTGATAAACGGGGCCCAAGCTTGATTGTCAAAGTGCGAAGCGATGCGTGCGCTGTAGCCTCCTACTTCGCCTGTTTTGTACAGTCCAAAAATTGGTAATTAGCCCCCCCCCAAAAAAAGAGTTCATGATTGTCATCAATAGATAGATAGAAAGGTAGGTAAAAGGAAGAGAAAGAAAAAAAGAACCTACATAAAGCGCCAATGACAAGAAAAACAATAATACGGTTTTTGGATCGAAAGAAGCGGAGTAGGTGGAGACATGCCATGATTGCGAAGACAACGATGCAGAGTATAGCTCCTGCGAGGGAAGGGGTGTAGCGGTACATTTCCCAGTCGAAGCCTGGGGATTTGGGTGGGTTCTGGCGTTTCCAGGTGAGGAGGCTGAGCGGGATTGAGTTGGTGGTCATCGTGGTTGGGACGATGAGGAAGTAAGGTGAAAGATTGAGAGAGAGAGAGAAGGGGGGGGGGAATCTGGCTGATTTTGAGTCTGGAGAATATGTTGAGGGAGGGTGATGAGATGAGATGAGGTGAGTCTTGCTATCTGTTCGACTTCACGGCATTCTTTATATCTACATGGTTGTGAATGCTACATCGTCATGTCTCTATCTGCGTGCACATCCTTTCGCACTCGCTTGCACGCACTACCCATGTTCATGCATACGGAAGTCAGGTAAGATAGCTCAGCCTATCAAAAACGTAACATAACGTATATGAGAGTAGCGTGCCTTGTACCTAGCTGCGAAGCTGCCGTTGTCATGTGTCTATCTAGACAGTCGTTCGCACTCGCTTAAACAATCCATGTCCGTGTACTCAGTGTCAGGTATGCTAGCGCATGTAGGGGTAAGACGCCAGATTTCGCATTCGCTTAATCAACCAATACCGTACATTCTCTCGCATCAATCCGTAGCAATAACCATAGTAATATGTCAAAGGCGTTCAAGCATATCATCACTGCCTCAATGGTTCGGTCAAATGCATTCTTGCTGTTAACAATGATACATTACACAAGGATTTACCTGTGGTGGCCTGACCAGGTTCCACATTTCATGCGTAAAGTGATGCCATAATTCCTTCGCAGACTTTTTTGTTTCTTAGATCGTATGTTACAACGTGCGACAAAGCACTCAACCCCAACACATCCCCGTTCCAAAACTAAAAGAACGAGGCCCTTATGAGCCAATCTAGCCCATGACCATGCCCTTGAGACCGGACATGTCGCCTTCCTTGGCGGCAATCTCAAAGTATCCGTAGATGATGGTGACGGCAAGAAGGATACCGGTACCACTGCCAAGAGCACCGAGGAGGTCGCTACCAACAGACAAAGCTCCAATGCAGGCACCGCCAAAGGCAGCCGCGGTGGGAATAACACGCTTCAGCTCCTTGTACATGGACTCCTCACGGTGACCAGCCATGACCAGACCCTGCTCCTTGAGCTGCTTGGCAACATCGCGGGGAGAGGAGCCGGAGACCTCGATCCAGGTCTTGGAGAAAACGGCGCAAGCGACGAGCATGTAGACGATGAAGATGGCGGTCTTGAGAGGGTCAGAGAGCGCCTCAGTGATGCTGAGAGGGGGAGACCTGTACAATGTCAGTGCGGAAACTACCAGAATGGGTTTACTGTTTGAACGTACATGTAGTAAGCGACACCAGAGGTAGCGAAAAGCTGAGCAGAGCCCTCCTTGGGCTCCCAGACACCGAGAAGCTTGACAAGCAGGTTGTCAGAGAAGCGGCTGTAGAGCATCTGGCTAATCAGGAAGACGTTGGAGGACAGAGCAGACTGCAGCATGATGGGCATGTTGGAGGTGTAGAACAGACGGACGGGGTAGGAGCCACGGACACCACGCTGGCGGGCAGACTTGACTGGGATCTCAACGCGGAATCCCTGGAGATAGATGACAGCGCCGAAAACGAGAACGGTGGAGATCAGGTTCATGACGTTGGGGAGGTTCTGACGGTAGAAGGCCTCCTTGAGCGCAACAGTCTTGTCGGGCCAGGTGAAGAGCAAGTGAACAAGCGCAATCAGAGCACCCTCGAACTCCGGGCCACGACCAGTGTTGATGGTGGTGGGAGAGAAGGCCTTCCACATGATGGACTCGCAGATGTTGGTGGCAATGAAGAGCGAGATACCGCTGCCGAGACCATAGCCCTTCTGGAGGAGCTCGTCAAGGAGAATGACAATCAAACCAGCAATCATCAACTGGATGACGAGCAGGACGCAGATACCGGCACCGAGGTCGGATGGCTGTCCATAGAGACCAGAGATAACATAGACAACAGCCTGGCCAAAGGACAGGAGAATGGCAAGGAGCTTTTGAGCGGTTTGGTAAAGTTCGCGGTCCGACTTGAGGTCAAGGTTGACGTCAATCAGGTGGGTTCCGGCAAGAAGCTGGAAGACCATGCCCGAGGTGATGATGGGGGTGATACCCAGCTCCATCAGCGTACCTCTGTTACTCGCCATCATCATGCGCAGCCAGTAGAGCGGGTCCGAGGTATCAGACGACACAATTCCGTAGAGCGGCATTTGGCTCATGACGAGGAAGACGAGGAGCGTGAGACCAGTCCATACTAGGCGGTTGTTGAACGGTACCTTGCTCTCGGGCAATTGGATCTCGGGAACGAGAGGCACAAAGGGCTTGACAAGATCGAGGAACCGTACTGCGTGGAGGCGTTAGCTGTGCGTGCCGCAGTGCGCCCTGTTTTGCGCGTGGGCGATCGCGGGCCCATTGAGGGCGGGGGCGTAGACTTACGGCCGCTCATGATTGCGAACTATGGCCCAGAGACAAGAAAGAAGACAAGGAGAAGTGAAAAAGGTTGGTTGAAGGCAGCCTGGAGATGGAAAGTGAGAGGGGGGTTTGTATTGTAGCTTTCGCAACGTGTCGCTGGGGAAATTACCCGTGCGCGCGCTAGCCGTAGTTCCGTCCCTGAGCCATCTCGAAGCTGCCACCGAAGCTCAAAGAGGCCACGCTGTTCCAACGCTGTGGGGGCTTTGTGGCGCTCTCATCTGCGGAATTGTGGCGTACCTTTGTCTGTATATACTACGTGAACCTGCTCTCGTTCATGTACTTGGATATCGTCATGTTGACCAGACTATCGCCCCTGAGGTGTCATTGGTCAACCAAACACCAGCGTTGATGATGAGTAAGTACGTGATCCCTGTACAGGACCAATTGACTGATATCCGAGTCGTTGAAGATAAATTGAGTTGTAAGCATTTCAACTTGCTCCTCGCAGATGGTAGTGTCGAGTTTTTTGTCGGATAGTCAGTATCGTATGTTTGATAGTGATACTCACCCCTGCATACCCAGAATACACCTAAAGTAGAGGCTGAATTAAAACACTGTTCACTCAGACCGATACCCTCCAATCATCACCAGTCCAAGTAGGGTAGCATCCGCTCGACAAGTCAAATCCAATTACAAAAACCACATACTGCACTCAAAGACTTCATAATGAACAATAAACATTATGTATACTACAGACAGGCGTATACGTAAATTTGGACCGCATCCAACAGGCCAAGATGTGTCTTCCAGAGATCACAAGTGTGTAAAATAAAAAAAGGGGGGGTATATTTCCAGCCATCACCAAACCACCTACTCAGCTTGCGTACGCTCATCGGCCGCCACCAGTACAAACGGTGATTACAACGAGTAAGGAATGTATAGAGTAAGGGGTATAGCGCAGAAGATATGATACAAAACCGGACTCGCCGGACAAGAAAGAATGAAGATGGTGAATATTCGTACGATGTCAAGAAACGAGAAAGCGCTAAACGACATGACATATCGAAAAGGGAATTGGCGTATAGTAGATAAAAGGAAAGAAAGAGGGCTTACGCCATCATCATGAGTCTCGTTCCACGTTTCTGTAGGTTTCGTGGTCTGTAATTTCCAGGTCCGAGGTGGTTTCTCGGCGGAGCCGCGGCGCTCTGGGCATGTCGCTCGCAATACCTTCGCCCAGCAACTTCAAAATAACCGTCCCGCAGAATGAGACGGCAAGTGAAGCATGCAAAGCATCTAGGGTGGAATTTTTGTCGCGTGTCTGTTTCGAGGTACTGGCCCTCGATACCGCGGTTGCAGGTGTTGCACAGTGATCCATTGAGCTTATGGTAATGACGCTCGCAGTACGGTGAGTTGTTGAAGACGTAGAACTCGGCCGTGGGGAAAGGATCCGCGCATTCTCTGCAAACAAAGCAGTGCTTGTGATACCGCCCAGTGAGACGACCCGATGAATCTTTGACAGACTTTCCAACAATGGGCTCAGAGCATCCACGACAGTTGCCCTTGCTAGCAGGTTTGGGCCGCTGCGCATCTTGCTGGCGCACCTCAGGCTCAGCCATACTCCTAAGTGGGCTTCGGCTGTAGTCCTGAGTCATTGGGTCCTTGGGGAACATGCCTAGTGGGGTTCGTGCACCCATTTGTACAGCAGGATCTATGGGAGACTCTGGATACTGCATGTTGATGCCTGGTGGGAACATGGGCTGGCGAGGGCCTGGAGATAGCGCTCGCGGGTATGATCCTAATCCGTTAGGGCTTGGACTTCTCCTGGAATTTTCTTCGGCAGCATAGTCTGGGCGGCCTATTTTGGAAGCTTGGCGTGAGTGTGCAGCTTCCGATTCTGGCGGGCTTGATCTTGAACTGGCCGTGCTTCGGATACCAGAGCTGCCATAGGAATCATCAGAGAAGCCAGAGTCTGAAGGCGTGTGAAGCGAGTTTAATTGTCCATCACTGGGCCCTGCGGCAGCCAGTGGCGGAGGACGTAAGGAGCGAGATGGTGCAAGGCCTCGCGGCATGTCGCTCACAGAACCGTTACGGCTTGGGCCCGGTGAAGGAAACATGTTAGCTGGAGGGAAAAAATCGGATGTATCCAAGTCGCTCATATCCATCGGCGGCAAATCTCTTTCTGAGGGCCTTCTTGGCCGTGGTGGTGGTTCTCTCTTGCCTCGGCTGTTCTGTCGCACCGGCTCTGCCGTGATGTTCTCCTGAGCTGGCGGAACTGGCTGAGAAGAGCGCGAAGATTCCTTTTGCAAGCGGTCCAGGAAAGCATCGATGCCTTCAGTCTGCTCGTCAGCCTGTGGGTGCGGGGGCAGAGCCTCTATGTTTCCAACGCGTAGCTTTGGGTGGGAAGGGAGGCCAACGCTGCGGTTAGAAAATCCAGAGCTGCGCGAAGTATTCGACGTTACAGAGGACCGTACTTGAGGAAAGCTCCTGTTGCTTGAGATGCTGCCTTGTGTGCCTGTCCTCTGGTGGCCGCCTGTAGATGCATCTACGGCTTGGCTCGATGCGCTTGTTCTAGTTGGCCTTCGATCGTTCTTTCCATCAAACGGTCCTGGTGCAATAGTGTTCATACGCTTGGTGATATTTTCCCCGCCATCAAAGCGTGGGCTAAGTGGTGCAAATAACGGGCTTGGTTGGGCGTAGTTTTGGTAGGGATCCAGACGTTCTCGTGGTTGAGGTTTGGCGCTTGTTGGTGTCTTGGGACGAAATGGCGGAAACGCACAGTCTAGATTCGAACTGAGGCCTGGCGAGCGAGGTGCCCTTGATTGGTCTACCGGTGATGTTACACTGCGATTCATTTTGTAAGGAGACTTTGGTGGTGCCAGTCCTGGAGAGCGACTTGGAGGGTTGCTGTAGTCACTGATGGGTGAAGGCTCTAATGGCCTGAATGGCTTGTCTGCACAAATCAGCATGCAAGTTTCTCTGCAGACTAGATGTCATTCTGATTGCTTACTCGCTGCGTTGGAATCAATGCGGGCAGGGGGAGGCATGCGGCCAGAGGGCGCTGGCCGGTCAGATCGATTGCTGAATGTTGGGCCACCAAAGGTTGCTGCGCGGTTGATTTTTGGAGAAAGAAGAGATTGAGGAGAGTCTGTGACGACTGTCGAGGTAGGAGACATGGGCTCAGGCACTGGCGCTGCTAAGAGGGGAATTAGTTTGGGTGGGCAATACAGAGTTGTATGGTACTCACCGGGCGCCGGGACTGCAGCGCAGACATGGTCGGCCAGATGGAGGATATCAATGTCGACGGCACACGACGAGCACTTGATTGTTGGAAGCGTGCTCATTCGATCCATGTTGGCATCCAGAGCTCGCGCACGGGAGCGATAACGAGGCAAGCGTTGCCGGAGTCAGTATGGGGATTGTTCGTAGCCAGCGGGGGGTGATTGTATTTCTTGAGGGTGGTGACATGGAAGAAGAGCAAGGCGGGCGGTAGACAGTGGTCGACGACGGCTACAAGCGTGCGCCGAACGACGACGCTGGACACACAGGGCTGTTTGATCTTCAGAAACGGTGTGGACCATGCTCAATCAGGGGCAGCATGCGGGCGTGGGTCCGAAAAGGCTACGAGCTTAGAAGGGCAGCGGCTGGAAAATGGCCTAGCACGTCCATATCTAGCAGTCCTAGAGGGTGTCGGGCCCCACAATCGACACGCGCAATGTTGGGTATCGCGAAGCTAAACAGAAAGCAATCACGACACGGTAATGACCGCGTCGGCGCATTGCCCATACAGACAGGCCAGCACGCGACAACGCTCGCCGGCAATCAAAGACGAACGGCCAATCGCCTCCGGCACATGTGGCCGCCCGCGGGGGTTATCGTCGTCGTCTGCACGCAATTCGCGCCCTGGGGGAATTGGGCGTGCCGGGGGGGTTGTCCGCCGTGCGCGCGATGATTCGGCGGGCATTTCCTTTGGCGTGCACGGGGCGGCAGCTTGCACTGTCGGCTGAATCGTGCGGTTCTCGCCGTTCCACCATCCACACCACTATACCCAGCTATACCCATCCATTACAGCTGCCAACTGTCATGAAACCCGTCCCGCGCCGGATCTCAAGACAACCACACAGCGTCGCCCGTGTCCAACGTCACCATGACGGGCCCGCCATTCGAGCGAGCCACCTGGCCCTGCATCTTGTCGCACACGGCGGCCAGACTGCGAGGCGTCAAGAATCGACCGAACACTGACTGTACTGACTGTGCTGGCGAGTCGGCCTTCCGAGGCTCCTTGTTCGCATCCTGTCCCTGCGCCGAACAACCGTCAGGGGACCAGCATTAGTCGCCCGGGGTGATTGGCTCTACGTGACATCGCTCCCAGCTGCCCGATCTACGTTGCAGACAATAGATTATTGGCACCTCACCACCCCTTTCGCAACGTAAATAACACCTACTTGCCCACAATCAGCAAACTCTATCCCTCGACTACTACGTCAGTACACACAGTGAGCCAAAGTGTATGAGTGTGTTGCATCACCAGATCGGAACCTGACGTTTCGAATCGTCTCATGGCGCGAGCAACAAGCAATGGCGGCGCAAACAACAAATGTTGCGCACACACACACATACGCCCTCACATGGTCCACAGGTCGATCGCTCATTTCCACATGCAGCCTACCGTATCCGGCCTGATGCAAGCGGTATCAGGGTTCCTGCTCCCAAATACCTAGGTTTAGGCCCCACACATGTTCGTCTGTTTCCCAGACGGCTAAAATAACGCGGCTCCGTGACGAATTCATGTACAAGATACTTTCCATGTTAGAACATTGTGTGATGGCAGGACTCATATCTTGCATAGCCTCTGATTGCCCTGGTGACCGTTTTTTTTCTGCTGCCAACCACGTCGCGTGCCTTTGCCGTTGTGCAAACATTTTTGAAGCTCATCGCGTTTCGGATGCCACCTTTGTCCTCGACTGGCGACACGGCCGAGCTTTGAAACAACATCTGGCTCAGGAAGCTGGTCGTCATACTTCTGCGCTGGAGAAGACTCGGTCTTTTGGGTGTGGTCCATGGAGACTGATGAAGTAGAAATCGCCAAGGCAATAACTTAGCTTAAAGCCTAACGCTCCGTCTAATGCTAGGCGCTCTTGCAAGGTGTCCAAGTGATGCCTTAGTATCGAGATACCTGCCGCTTCGACTAGTAGTAAACACGTGATGGTGGGGTACTCGACAAGAAGGCGGGATGTGTTGAGCTTTGTAGCAGAGATTGTAGGACTGCGTCCGAGCACATACAGCGACAGCTGTCCATGCAATGTACCGTCTCTTTAGGCTCATACCGCACTCTGTCCCACGTCGCTTGCATCTTTTGCCAAACCCAACGAGGTTGCTGCTGCATAATGGCGAGTTAGTGGGGGTAATAGCGGCACATGGCGAATATCGCGAGGACTCATGCGAAGCGTCGATTGGTGTCTCTACGCCTCAAGAGGACTACGGCAATAATGGCGACGACGAAAAGTGGAGAACCAAGAGGTAAAGGCAAAGAGGCGGTGGGTGAACACGTTGGCCGGCTGCAGGCGGGAGCGGTTGCGAGTGGTAGTGATAAGTCAGCAGCGGCACGAGAGCATTTAAGTGACTACACTGCGCCCCAGCTGCTGCCTACCTTCACACACCAACATTCTCTGATTGTAGACCATAGCCAACTGACAAGCTTACAATCTCCCCTTTCCATCAACCACACCTGAAATTTCCCTCGGGCCATTGCCCAGCTGTCAAGACGTTTTCCAATCTCCTCAGCTCGTAAGTACCCCTCCACAACCCCATGGGGACCGATATCACGACGTGGAGGTGGATTTGACTAACACCCCGCAGGATCCACAACCCATTCGCCGGCCGACGTACTTCTCCTTCTGGGGCAGCGTCGGATCTAGACTTCCGCAACTAAGTTCACCAAATCAACAAGAACTTGAATTAAAATCATCATGGCACCACACGCAGAAGAAAGCGTCGGCAACGCGAATGGGTTGGAGGTGAAGGCGGCCCCCAAGGCTCCTTTTGTCGTCAACTCGCCCAATGTCGAGTATACCGAGGACACCATCAAGACAAAGTACACTTACCGCACCACGGACGTCACCAAGAACGCCGACGGCCACTATGTCGCTGTTCCCAAGGAGACCCTTTACGACTTCAAGGTTGACCGCAAAGTCCCCAAGACTGGCGTCATGCTGGTAGGCTGGGGCGGCAACAACGGTACCACGGTCACGGCCGGCATCATTGCTAACAAGCGTAACCTTGTCTGGGAAACCAAAGAGGGTAAGCGCGGTGCCAACTACTATGGCTCCGTCATCATGAGTTCTACTACCAAGCTTGGTGTCGACAGCAAGACCGGCCAAGAGATTCATATCCCGTTCCATGATCTCCTCCCTATGGTCCATCCCAATGACCTTGTCGTTGGCGGATGGGATATCAGTGGCATGAACCTGGCTGACGCCATGGACCGCGCCAAGGTCCTGTCCCCGTCTCTGAAGTCTTTGGTTCGCAAGGAGATGAGCGCTATGAAGCCTCTTCCCAGCATCTACTACCCGGACTTTATCGCCGCCAACCAGGAAGAGCGTGCTGACAACGTCATGGAGGGTACCAAGGCTTCTATGGCCCATGTTGAGCAGATCCGCAAGGACATCCGGTAAGTGCCGTTCTAAACATGACATGATTATCCTTGCTAACATCTTAATAGTGATTTCAAGGCTGCCAACGGGCTCGACAAGGTGATTGTACAGTGGACTGCCAACACTGAGCGCTATGCCGATATCCTGGAGGGCGTCAACGACACTGCGGACAACCTTCTCAAAGCCATTGAATCTGGCCACGAGGAAGTTGCTCCCTCGACTGTCTTCGCCGTCGCCTCGATCCTCGAGGGTGTTCCCTTCATCAACGGCTCTCCTCAAAACACCTTTGTCCCTGGTGCGATTCAGCTCGCTGAGAAGCACAATGCCTTCATTGGTGGTGATGACTTCAAGTCTGGCCAGACCAAGATGAAGTCTGCCCTCGTTGACTTCATGATCAGCGCTGGTATCAAGCTCACCTCGATTGCCTCGTACAACCATCTGGGTAACAACGACGGTATGAACCTCAGCTCTCAGAAGCAGTTCCGTTCCAAGGAGATCTCCAAGTCCAACGTTGTCGACGACATGGTCGCTGCCAACAACGTTCTGTACAAAGATGGAGAGCACCCTGACCACTGCGTCGTCATCAAGTACATGCCTGCTGTTGGAGACGACAAGCGTGCTCTGGACGAGTACTACGCTGAGATCTTCCTTGACGGTCACCAGACCATCAGCTTGTTCAATGTTTGCGAGGACTCCCTTCTGGCTTCGCCTCTGATCATCGATCTCGTGCTCGTCGCCGAGATGATGACCCGTGTACAGTGGAGGGCTCAGGCTGGTGAAGGTAGCGATGCCAAGTTCAACAACTTCCATAGCGTGCTTAGCGTCCTCAGCTACATGCTCAAGGTACGTCAAACATACTGTTATGCCTTTCATTCAACTAACTTATTCCAGGCTCCTCTCACCCCTCCGGGCACTCCAGTCGTCAACGCTCTTGCCAAGCAGCGTGCAGCTCTCACCAACATCTTCCGTGCCTGTGTCGGTCTTGAGCCTGAGAACGACATGACTCTTGAGCACAAGCTCTTCTAGATGTCTAATAACACATGATGGTTACTTGGTATGCACCAGCTGTTTGACTGACTTGACGATTTGCACGGCTAGACGTGCTTGTGATTTGTTTGGCCAACTCTTTACTCTCGTTAAAGCAATATAAAATGTCTTCCCAAAGTTGCTTTATGTCTTTCGTGATATGTGATTGTCGCTAGAAATATTTAACACTAAAGGTCAAAGCCTTCTTTGACCATGTCTGGACACCATCATGACAAGAAAATCGAGTCGACTCCTAATGTCTTCTAACAAACGTTGTAGTTACAGGGCATGTGCACCCACTTTGATATGAATCTCAAAATTCTTACGCTACAGGCAGGTGTTGATGCTGTTTTAGTCAGGTAGTTGGAAGAGGAAGGAGCGATTGTATTTTTTCGAACCAACCCTCACCTCAAACTATTTACATTTGCCTTGAAACCCGAAACCCACACTCAATAATGCCATCACCGTCTTCAATACAATTCTACTTTTCATCCTCGCCATCAAAGAACAGTGATGGCTTTACTGCAGGGGAAATGCAGTCCGCTCTTGCCCCGGCAGCAGTAGACACAGCAGGTATATGGATAGTACGATATCTCAACACCCCCTATCAGATCATTGCTAACAACTCATAGCCCACATTGGACTACGAAGAAGCCGATATAGGCTCTCTCAAACTTGGTCCATGTAACCTCGCTCTCATGGGCCGTATAGTGAATTTCAACGACCAAATGAGACCTAGCAAGTCACACAAAGCTGCCCAAGGATGCATCAAAGTCATGATTGCAGACGACACAGGGGTACTCACTGTACGCCTCTGGTATGCCGAACTTCGATACAAGCTGAAGCTTGGCCAGCTCGTTGGCATATGGACAGTGCACATTTCCAACTCGTCTGAATTCAACGCACTGGCACCCAGTACGGCACCACTGTTCACGAGTATGTTTCCTGAAGGGGAGAGAAACTGCCATTTTGCGGTATACGAGGGTAGTGATGATGGAACCAGATTCAAGAGGCCGTATGGCGTGACAGAGAGTAGGGCACTGGCTGGGCTGATGACGTTGAAAAGCTTCATGGATGGCGGGTATGATGTTGACGAACCCAAGCTGCTTGTCTGTGTGAGGAGCATTGGAGCAAAAAAGAAGTGTACGTCGGAATTCTTCTTATATGCAACTATTTAAAAACTGACCACACTAGACATGAACCGCAACGGCACAACTTCCGAGCTCATCTCCCTGGGCATCTTTGACGACACAGCTGATGGCCTCCTGACTCTGTACTCCTCCATGTGCGACTCAGCATCGCTCTTCACACCTTTCAAGACCATCCTACTCATTTCAAACCCCGGCTGGCGCATCGACAAAATGGCCAAACTTACAATCACAAGTGGTTCGCGAGTCGACATCGACCCGGACATGGGCGACGCCCGGCGCCTCCGAGCAATGGCACAACGCCTCACAAAGCGGGAACACGTGAACCCTCCCTTCACCATTCCCCAAACCGCAATCCAAGATTTTGAGAACGCAGCTATAAAGGCACTTTACACGCTTGCCGACGTCGACACCGTCGCCCGCTCACTATCTAATTCCAGTAGAAAGGAAAGAATAGTCGGCTACCTCAGCGTCCTCATCACAGGCCTCAACATCGTCACGCCCTTCAAGCGCAACATGCTCATGAGCAACGAGTGCTGCGGTATTCCGCTCTTCGCCAATAGTGTGAATATGAAATGTAAGCACTGTGAGAATGTAGTTACTCTACGTATCAATCCTAGAATCGTGAGTCTTCTTTTTCCTTGTCCTTGACCAAATGAACAAACAGTTGATATTCAAATGTACGCAGCTCGGTCCCATACTAGACGAAACAGGCCAGATCGGCTCGGGCAAACTCATCCTCTCAGACGATGCATGGTGCCAGCTCCTCGGCCGCACGCCCCACCAGCTCGTCGAGACGGATCTTGACGTCCTCGTGTATCTAGAGCAGCGCTTGCTGTTTCTCCGCTTGACCATGGGGTTCGTGCTAGATTTGGAGGATGAGATTGCGAGATTGGCCATTTGGTGTGTTAGGAATTAAACATTATGTCGGTGAACAAGGTACACATGTACTTCTTTTCTCTCTGCATATTCAAGTTCCCGAATGGAGGGGGGGGGGGGGGGATTCGGAATATCAAGATGAATATATATATATATATCTCAGCGTTTAAAAAAAACAGCCAGCCCAGTTTCAACCCCCCAAAAAAAGGTAGCAGAATTTGGTAACGTGGTTCACAAGCGAGTCGGCCACCCAAGCGAGTCGGCCACTTTACACTAGCGCGTCAACTTCAAGTTATTACAACAGACTTTTATCATAGTTAATAAACTATTACGATATA